AGTGTGCTGACTTTTGTCAGTGGTGCATCTATTGTGGGATCTTGGAAGCTAGTTCTTCAGAATTATTAGAGGAGATTCTGGCTCTGGGGTATCAGGCTTTTAAGCTGGGGCAGCTCCTGCACCTTTCCAATGCGAATCTCTTTTCCTTGTACATGTGTGTATGTGTCACTCTGCCTTTCAAATTAAATAAAAAATTAAATAAACTTTTTCTTTTAAAGGTGAGGCCTATGCTAGCCATGTGAATCTGAATGTTTTGTTGAGCCTGAGACCAAGCCCTCACGGGCATTACAGAAGGTGTTTGGGCTAGAAGTGGCAGGCTCTGTGCCTCCTGCTCGGCTTACAACCAGCACCAGCCTTGGGGCATACCTTAACTACCTCCACAAGAGCAAGCTTCTCTTTTCCTTTTAACAACACTGACACATTCTGTAGCTTTATCTGTTCCAAGGTACAGTCATGGGTTGAAAAGACCCATGAAAATAATCAGGAGTCCTTGTTTCCTGGATCACACGAGTTTAATTGCGGTAATATCAACTCTAATTCTTGAATAATTTCAAGAGTAAATGCCATAACCAAGATGAAGCGCCAATTTAAATACAAGTGCTTCATTTGCTTGAACAGTGGGCAACCTTTTTGTACCTTTGTTAGAGCGTGGCACAAAGCTGAACAATGCAACAGTTCCTCCTCCTCCTTCTTTCTCTCTCTCTCCCTCTTTGCAGATAGAAAATCAAACTCACCTTAGCTGTTTTGCTCATTTTGAGTTTCTTCCTCAAGCGCCCTGGCGGCATCTGAGACCTCATTTTGCTCCTGCTCCTGCTGCTGCTCAGCGAGTCTCTGTTGCACCACAGCCTCTGTGTGCCCGTGGATGATCTGGTGGGCCGCGAGAATGTGCTTCCGCTGGGCATTCCTCACTGCACCAAAGCCACAGAAGAATGTTCACTCTCAAAGTCTCCATGAAACCACTGCCTAATGCTTTCAAGGGAGTAACGACAGAAACAGTAATTTTGCAAACCAACATTTAGGACTGATTGGGTTAAGTAGAAATGATCTGCTCTCTGTTTTAGAAGGATCTCTTTTCAGGGTAAACCAAATGCACACATTACCTCTTGCTGCATCCTCTGTCCCCACTCTGGCTTGGTCTGGCCAACCTCCCCACCTTCAGGCTCATCCTCATTCCTGACTCAGCAGTCTCCCTCGCCTGGAAGGCCTGCACTCCAGATCCCAGCCCTCTAGCGCAGCTCAGCTCAGGTTCCAGGTACCCCAGGAACTCTCTCTTGATTATGTCGGCCCACATTTACCATTTACCCCCTGAATGTGTACCAACCTGTTCACTGTTGAAGCATTTCAGGCGGGCTACGCTGTGTTTTCCATTTAGACTATAAATGACTTAAAAGTCAAGACTTTGTCTTCTTTGAGACTCAATTCCTAACACGGAGGGTACTTTTTGATTGATGATGAGTTTCTAAGCTCATGATTTTAGAAGGTGATCACAGCTCTGAATTCTAGGGATATTTATGGTCAAGGCTTAGTAGAGACAATACTAAGCATCAGAATCCTTAGAAAGGAGTGGTGATGAAGACGATAATGTTGATGATGTTGTCCTCACACGTGTCAGGCACTGTTTTAAGCAGCTGACATATCACTACTGATTTATCTTCCCAAAACCCTCAAAGAGAATATTATTAATATCTCCACTTTCAGAGAGATAGGAAATTTGTTCAGTCGCACACTAGTAAAGGACAGTAAAAAATGCGTGAATTCTTTGCCATTTTGCTATCAGTGATTTTACAGAGGGTAATTCACACAGCAGCTCATAGCACTTAGCAGTAGTATGGTTGAAAAAGTGGGGTCTTTGGAGACACACAGATAATGGTTCAAATCTTCAAGCTCTGTGTCTCCACACACTAATTTTCTTAACAAAGAGACAAGAATGCATCTACAGCTGTTGTAAGACATTGAGATAATGTATATTTTATTTTTTCTTTTCAACTTTTATTTAATAAATATAAATTTCCAAAGTACAACTTTTGGATTATAGCAGCTTTTCCCCCCATAACCTCCCTCCCACTTGCAACCATCCCATCCCCCACTCCCTCTCCCATCCCATTCTTCATCAAGATTCATTTTCAATTATCTTTATATACAGAAGATCAACTTAGTATATACTAAGTAAAGATTTCAACAGACTGCACCCACACAGACACACAAAGTATAGAGTACTGTTTGAATAGTAGTTTTACCCTTAATTCGCAAAGTACAACACGATAATGTACACTTTAAAATGCTTAGTATGCTCACTAGAACTTAACATGCATTTACGATTGGGTAGTTACCGTTATTTCACAAGTCTCTTTAAGGTCTTTATGACCCCTCAGCTTTTTAAAAAGTGTGATAATTCAAAATGTTCTATATATAATAATATCTTAATTTTGTATAAAGCATAAATATGGGGCCGGCACCGTGGTATAGCACATCTGCAGTACCGGCATCCCCATATGGGCGCTGGTTCAAGTCCCAGCTGCTCCACTTCTGATCCAGCTCTCTGCTATGGCCTGGGAAAGCAGTAGAAGATGGCCCAAGTCCTTGAGCTCCTGCACCTGTGTGGGAGACCCAGAAGAAGCTCCTGGCTCCTGGCTTCAGATGGGCCTAGCTCCAGTCGTGCAACCATTCGGGGAGTGAACCAGGGAATAGAAAACCTCTCTGTCTCTCTTTGTCTCTCTGTCTCTGTCTCTCTCCTTCTGCTTTTCTGTAACTCTGCTTTTCAAATAAAAATAAAAATAAAGAAATCTTTAAAAAAGAGTAAATACACTAATACATTTCTTTTGTTCGAAAAGGCAAACTAGTTCAAACTTGTTTGAAAAAGACTTAATGTGTGCTCCTGGCCTTATGGCGTTTTTGACATGGCATGAATATAATGCGAAGAGGCTAAAGGACACCCAGCTTGCCCAGACAGGTCCCCCTGGACTCCTTCAGTTCACTTCCTCCTCCGAACCCTTCCCCTGAGACCCAGGACAGTTGGGGCAGGGGGGAGGGCGGTGTCAAACTAGCAAATATTAGCCCACTGGTTTCCCCTCTCCTTCAGTGGCTCTGAAGTGAGCTGGCCTTGATTTGATCCTTGGAGAAGTGGAAATGAGATGCATATTTTCTCAGGGATCTGGAAAACATGGATCCCTTTTATCATAGAATCTGAAAATTGAATTTTGTTCCCAGAAACACTATCATACACTGTTGATGCAAATATGAATTTGGTAAAATGTAAAGCACACATGTCCCAGTCCCAGCACCTGCATTGCTAGGAATTTACTCTGAGAAGCCTGGCCAGGATATATATAAAATAGGATGCTTTCATCACTTATGGTGGAAAGAAAACACTGGAAACAAACTAAATGCTTATTACTAAAGAGTACCCATTTAAAAATTATACAACCACCATGTAATGGGACAGTAAGGTATTGCTTTGTCTTCTCCAAATGTGTTAGAACCCTGCCACACCCACATGCCTGACAGAGCAACCTGAAATTCTGCACAATACCTGCTTACACCTGCTCAGATTCTTCATAGTCCTGAAGGGTTCTGAGTTGTCAGTTACCTGAAATAGTGTCTTCTCCTGGTTCCCTCCCTGCCTCTGGGATCAGGCCCGCCACCAAAGCTCCAGCAAAACCCTCTTCGGTTTAATACATAATTTTTTTTCCTCCTCTATTGCCTAAAAGCATCAATCTTTAAAACTGTGCCACTTCTGTGGTAGGCCTTTGGTCTAGTAATTAAGGCACCTGTGTCCCAAATCAGAGCGGCTGGGTTCAGTTCCTGGCTCCAACTCCAGATCCCAGTTTCTTGCTAACGCCTAGCCTGAGGGGCAATGGTGATGGCTCAGAGCGCTAGCTGGGTCTCTGCCACTCACACAGGAGACTCAAAGTGAGTTTCCAGCTCCCAGCTCCAACCCTGGATGAACCCCAGCCCAGTCCTGGCCACTGTAGACATCTGGATAGTGAACTAGCAGACGGAAGCTCTCTGTCTGTCTCTCTCAAATAAACGTTTTTAAATGACACTTTTGACCAATGACAAATTAGGATATTTAGACTTAAATGTGGCCCCAGCAGAAAGAAGAGATCTGTGGCTCGGGCAGAGCAGAGTAGTGGAGGTAGGCCATTCAGGTAACTGTGCTTCACACGTGCCCTGCCTCCAAAGGGCTGCTATGGTCTGAGTCATAAAATACACCTCTTCTGGGAACCTGGAAACTCCCTTCCACGGAAGGTTGTATCTGGTAATTTGTTAAGTTTATCAGAACTGCATCCCATCTATTCCAGGGGGATTATATTGTGGAATCAGACTGCACGAAGAGAACTTGGCAAGCTCTGAAATAAGAAAACTCACTCACTCTCCTTCAGAAATTCCCTCATTCCTCTGTTGAAGTTTAACTCTGGGACCCTGAAAATGATTTTCATCTTTTAAAGATCCTAAAGTGAAGTGCTGTCTCTGGCTTACCTTTCTCTTTAACAAAGTCTTTTTGCACTTCTGGGATCAGAAAACTATACACCAACTCAGCAACAATCTCCTCTGACTGAAGACGAGTTTGGTCTGAACCATTATAGAAACATAAAAACAACAAAACTTCAATTTTGTTTCTTGGCTGGAGCTGCAGATCTGCACTTGGCTCTTCCATGCTTGTTTCGGCAGCTCTACTGCTCAAGTCCTGCCAGCACCAGCTCCTTGATTAAGGAATGTGAAACATCACATTCCCAGCGAGCAGGTTTAACTCCATAGAAAACTTGGATTTGACCCTGTCCTTCTTTTACCACCTCCCACCCCGCCAACCACTAGGAAGAGAAAATGAGAAACACAGCTCCCACATGGAAGCCAAAAGCCTTGGGACGAAGTCCTAGCAATGAAGCACACGTGTATTCACAGTGCTTCTATGCTTCTGCGTGTTCTAGATGTGAGTAATATGAAAATCATCCAGACTGCAACAGATAGCTGAAAATTCAATTTCCTGTTCTCCTTCCATCTAGATGTATAACCATGTTAGATTCTAAAGAGTTACGCTAAGAAAGCAATGGAGATTGATTGGTGGTGAAGTCTTAAGCACTCCCCACAAAATGCATCTAACAGCAAATGGGCTGTCCAGTCCACAGACAAGTTTCTTGCTACATACCGATTTTCCATTTCATAAGCAATGTCATTGATTTCCTCAGCCATCTTTTCAATTTCTGCCCTGGCGTGTTCTTCTGCGGTATTCTCTTCAGTATTTAGGATTATCTCTTCCAAGTAGGAGGATACAGTGCTTTGATGAACTTTAATGACCTACATAAAGTGAAAATACCCCCACTTACTGAGAACAGCAATGCTATCACAAACAAGAAAAACAGGCAAACACTGGTTGACTTCTTTAAAGCACGTATATTTTGTCCATTAAGTCAATAGCTCCTTTCCTTTACCATCAAGTCAGTCTGTTTCTCCTCCACCTAGCTATCCATTATGGGCAACCCCACCCATTATGCCTACTGTAAAATTAAGGATCTTACTTTGGGGTGGGCAGTAAAGCACTGCTGTAAGATTATGGGCTTCAGTATCAACTATACTTATTTGGATCCTGGCTTTGTTCACACCAGCATTATGACCTGGTCCAATGATCTAACTGTAGCAGAGACTATGGGATCTTTTCCAATGTCCTTTCTGCCCTCTAAAATGATAGGATCCCTGGAATTTAGCTTGGCAAATTAGTGCCTGGAATAAAGACCACGTCTCTCAGCACTCAGAGCAGCTCTATGACCAAGTTCTGATCAAGGGAATATATACAGAAGTGACAGGTGCACCTTCCAGAAAGGATTCTTAAAGGGAGAGAGCCCTGGCTTCTTTGTTTTTCATTTCATTTCTTGTTGTATGAGGACATAGTTCTAAACCACCAGCTTTCATCTTAAATTAACACAATGGCCATGCCTTAGTGTTCGAATAGCAGAATGCTGTATGGATCCTGAGTCTCTGGCGAATTCATTGAACAATCGTTATTAGCCCTGATTTGCTGCTTTTTAAGCCTTCTTGAAATTGTGAAATAGAGATTTTGAAAAGTGCAGAGCACATAAATGTACAGTGTAATGAATTCTGGTAAAGCCAGCACCCATGTAGCTACTGCTAGTAACATAGAAAGGCTCTGTGGGCTCTTCCTGACCACAACCCCTTTTTACCTCCAGAGCAAGCACTTCTTTCTCCTTATAATTTCGCTCCCTAAGTATGCAGTCATGAGCTGTCTAGTTCAGTTTTTGGTATATACACAAGAAGTATTGTAAGTATTGAGTGCAGAATAGTTGTATATACATATATATGTGTGTATATATCCTGTTTCCTTGGTAGATTATGAGCTTCTTGGGGACAGGACATCATTGACTGACTGACTGATTATGAGCAGAGTGGACTTACTGAACACACTGCCAGGGAGCAGTGGGCACGCAGGACAACCAGAGGGGAAGCAGGCTGCTGCAGAACACTTTTCTATTTCAGGTCTGCATGTTTCCTTGTAACGGGGCCATGGCTGAGACTCAGTAACAATTCAGTATCTGTTTCTTGACTGGCATTGCAGGTTGACTCTGAGTATGTAATAGGTATGAGTATTGTGTAAACCTGTAAAACACCAGCCTTGACTCCCCATGCCTTCCTTATGGGTGGGTCTCAATGGCCAGCTTAATGCAGTACCAACCAAATGACCAGCCAACCAAAATATATTTGCTAAATGTCTACTATGTACGTGATCTTTGGTGGTGTTACGGTAGACAAAAAGGGAACAGACAGCAGACCCACCCCCCCAGAGCCCACTGTCTTATTTAGGAAGCAGATCACACCTACATGTGACAGCCAGGCAGCCAAGTCATACAATGGTAGAGAAGTGGATAATGTGGTCCACTCAGACCAACATGTGCACTTGTGGGTTTACACATTCTTTATAAATGAGTAAGTTTTTGTACACAATTGTGCTTATATGTGCACAGCCTACTGAGGAAATCTAGGTGGCCACATGTGTGTCTCTGTATGCTCCTCCATAGTTTTGATAATACTCTACATACTGGAAAATATGGGTGGACATTTCCTTGTGTACATGCTTGCAAAAGTGCACATATATTTAAGTATGAATGGGACTGTGTTTCTATGTGCTATTTTATGGAAATGTATTAAATATATGCCTGTCTTTTGATATATTTATGTGCAAGAATATTTACCTTCATTTTTATCAAGGGGAATCTATATGAAGAGAGGTTAGGAATGTAGGAAGGAAAATAGAAACTGTATTTTAATTAGAAAGATTGAAAATGAAAATGACAGATGGTATTTGAATCGTGGGTGTGTAGCTGATACGTTATTTATATAAGTGGTCCTGAAATCCGCTGGAAGACTTATCCTAGCTTCCTACTTGCCCTTCCTAGAAACAGCTGGCACTTGCTGGCCTCATCACCATTCAGAAGACAGTTTCCAAGAAGCTTTGCTCCTGTCTCTGTTCTTGAGAACAACAGTTCCTCTATCCCATTTATTTTTATTCTCACCCTCATTAGTTATTCTCGTTCCCAGCTGGTTTTTCCTTCAGGGTATCAGGTAGGGGATGGTAGGGGCTGGTCTGTCAATAATTTATAAATCTCAGTAACTTCTTTTGAAGAAAAATGTGTTAAGGTGGTAGGAAGCTGGAATACCAGTGATTGTTATACATTGTTAAACATTATAGATAATCTGCAACCAAAGTTAGAACTTTGAACGTCACAACTTATAGCTTCAAACTTGCTAAACTGTACTCAGGGAGGGTAATCTGTTTAATTTGTTTAGTTTCAACCAAAAAGCTTTTTTTTTTCCATTAAAAAGATACACACCAAATACTGTTAATGGATTGACCTTAATTCCATCAGAATTAGCTAAAACATCAAAATCTCAGACCAAATAAGACTTCCAAATTGACAAGGTGTGTTGCTTTTGTTTTTTAAGGTGTTGAGCTCAAGTAGTTCACACGTGGATTCAGACAGCTTCTTGGAGAGAAATGTTCGTAAGTTCCAGGCTGGTTCTTTCTCTCTTTCCCATTTCTGGTTACCTTGATCACAGGAACAGGGAAGCACCTCTAGGCGTGGGGACAGGGTAGTGCTAGTCATGGCGCAGCTCCCTTTAAAGAGATCTCCCTCCAACGTCAACATGTGACCTCCCGTATCCTCTATGCGGTGAGAGTACTTCCAAATAGTACTGGTTCCTAGAAGCTCCCCTGAATTTGCATCTTGGTCACCTTGGCATTTCACACCCATCACACCCTGGTCGGAATGTTCATTCACCAGCCTGGTACCCTAGTTCTCGAATGTCCATCTTCAGCCAAGCCTCTCTTCTAAGTTCCATCTTGTATATCCACCCACAGACGTGAGACTTCCACTAAGTTGTCCCAATGAATGTAAACTGAATTCCGAATTCCGTCCCTGCACTGTCCCCCTCTCCACCTGCCAGGGCAGAAGCCAGAACCGTCATCTACCAGCTGCTCACACCCGAAACATCAGACTGGATTCTGCCTGATTCTCACCCAACCTCACTGTTTCAACAGCCTCTCTGCCCCCACCCCGCCCCACCCCTGTTCCCACTCCGCCCGCCCCAGACCTATTCTCCACACAGCAAGCAGAGGAATCTGTTTAAAATACATCCCTGAGCTCCATGTGCTTATGTGCTTGCTTCATGGAACTCATGACATTTTTTGCCCTATATTCCCGTGTTACTTACGCTCCAGGAGAGAAGGGACCTTCTCGGGTTGTTTTTTTTTTTTTTTTTCCCAAAACAGCCCACAGTGCCTTTGCACAGGACTCAGCATATAGTAGGAAAACCAAGAAACAAATGCCGGTTCACCACATGTGGCTCTTTTGTTGGACCCGCGCCTTCCAGGCAGCTTCTGAGCACCGGCCACCCGACTGACCTCCTTGAAGATCTTGTCCTCCTCGCGCAGGCGCCTCTGCTCCGCCTGGCGCCGGCCGCTCTCCTCTGCCTCCCGCATCCGTCGCTGGCGCTCGGCGAGCATGGCGAAGGCGTGGATCCTCCTCTCTTCCTGCAGTCTCACCAGCTCTTTGGACAGGAAGTCGAACATGTCTGCCAGGGCCTTTCCCTCCAGGCCAGCCAAATGGTTTTCAATCAGTGACACCTTGAAAATAATGCAACTTATTATAATATAATAGCAAATTCCTCTCTGAGCGGGGGGGGGGGGGGGGGTATCAGAAGGATGCTGGATTCCCCAGAACTTCTGAGAGTCAATTCACTTTCAGAACGCGCCTAGTTTTATTAGTAATATTATCTCCCCTCCTCACAGGTTCCTATTAGGAAAACTTCTTACAAGCTTAGATATGAAAAAGTAGATTCCTCAGGCGCTGATGGGTTGTGATCTCCAAATTATGAAGAGGATTCAGAAAAACCTTTCTGTGAGCCAGCGCACAGAATGGCTTTTTCTTTCAACTTTATCTAGAAGATAAAGTAAGTCTTCCCAGACATGAAGGGAAATGTCAAGGTTTTTATTAAAGATAATAGCGGGGATTAATGAAATAGAATCTCCTAGAAATTCACTCACAATACTTCTAAATCTTTTACACTTGATCTTAGCCAAAAGGCTGAGATGCTATGAAGATCGTTTTCATTTTTTAATGTCTTGTCTTTTCACACAAGTTTGGGGAATTTTATGATCTCCAGTAACATGAAAGTAGAAAACCTTCATACTTCTGAGTCTTTTAATAACTTCAGAGCTACTAAGAACCATCTCACAAACAGCCCGGGAAAAAGCCTAAATGTTTACACGATCAGAAGGAAAATCGGGAGCCTTTGGCGCTCTGGGCCAGGAGTAAGCCTCAGCACCTATCTGTGGAGTCCTGTGTCCTGGCTTTGACACATGGAGAAAAGAAACGTTTAAAGTTCATGCAGAGATTTATGTCTTAGCTACAGCTCCAGCCGTACGACCCACTCCCCGTTCTCTCTTATGGTTGCTGACCAGGGCATCCTTTCATTTTCTGTTCCTGTTCATGTTTTTTGTTAGGATTATTTGGAGACTTTTGGTAGTTTCAATCCTTTAACCTTTTCCTTGCTGTGTAAAAGGAAAGCAAAAGCTGTTATCAACTTCTTGTTCTATAGACACTAAGCCAGGTTTTCAGAGTTTGTTTTCAGTATTACTAACCTTGTATGACATGAATACCCTCTTCCAGCAATATTTGTGTTATGGGGCTATATATTTGGTGGTGATCCTTTAATATTGAGAAAGGATTTTAAGAATACTGTGATTTGGCTGGCACTGCGGCATAGTGGGTAAAGCCGCTGCCTGCAGTGCCAGCATCTCACATGGGTGCCAATTTGACTCCTGGCTGCTCCACTTCTGATCCAGCTCTCTGCTATGGCCTGGGAAAGCAATGGAAGATGGCTCAATTCCTTGGGCCCCTGCAACTGTGTGGGAGACCCAGGGGAAGCTCCTGGCTCCTGGCTTCCGATCGGTGCAGCTCCAGCTGTTGCAGCCATCTGGGGAGCAAACCATCAGATGGAAGATCTCTCTCTCTCTGCCTCTCCTCTCTCTGTGTAACTCCGACTTTCAAATAAATAAATAAATATTTTTTTAAAAAAGAATACTGTGATTAACTGGGTTCCTTCCTTTGATTTTTGAATTTTAAATACAGACACAGTCATTTATATAAAAGAAAAGCTTATGTCCCTGGGCAAATCTTTTGAAGACAGAGGTCAAAGTCAATTGCATAAAGTTTTTTCATCATTTCTGTATGTATTTGATATCTAAATCAATATCTGTATAAATTTAATCTTTTATTTTCTGGTAACTTGTGATCACTGAGAAAATATTTGTAACTTTCTCACAGAGTATGTGTAAATAATGGTGTGAAAAACTCTCACAGAGTGTGTGTAAATAATGATGTGATAAAGTCCTTTGGGGAAATTTACGTTCCTTTCATTTTTACCAAATTGCAGATTTTCAGCATGGGTGTGAAAAAGCTTTAAAATGATAACTTTATGTACAAGATGAAAATAATTCACTAAATTTGCCCCTTTTCACACAAAATAAAATGTAAAAATTAAAAACAAAGTTTTCTTTATTTTGTGCGACTTCCTCCTATACTCTGCTATCCTTAGATATAAGGGAAAGGCTCTTGCTGTGGCCATGCTACTTCAGCTTTGCTCTCTCCCACGCCCCCCACTGGTCTGCATCCGAAGGGAAGGAATGCCCATAGGCCTCAGAGGCCATTGGGCTAGTGGGTGAGAGGGTCGGTCAAGTGCAGCTGTCCCCGTGACACCCTCCTCCTCCTCTTCACCTACCTCCCAGCCCACACATACTTTCTACCCACAAAGCTCAAGTAAGGAGAGATGGGAAGAAAGGGCGGAATGACAGTCATCTATCTATCTCACAGCTCCTTGCGTTCATAAATATTCAGGCCAGGGACCAAAATGGATCATCCCCTTCTTTCCAGGGAGCAGAGGTGCCTCCACCTGGGGTGCAGATGCAACCTTTAAAATCCTCAGGCGGCCACCTGCTCATGTCTAACCTCCTCCCTCAGCAAGAAACTTGGGCGTGCTCAGCTAGTAAATTCTAATTTGAAATCAAGTGAGAACATTGAGGAAAGTGACTCTGCTACAGTCACATAACACCTTACGTAATTGGGAACTGCACATTTCCTGGGCCCGTTTTCCACAGAACTAAGAGAAGGAGAAGGGAGGCTCAGCAGGGCTGGAGGCTTCTGTGCGCAGCAGCAGCAGCAGCAGCAGCAGCAGCAGCAGCTCTTCCTTTACTGCCACCCTTGGATTTCAGCCGACATGCCTGAGGCAATGTGAACGTTCACTAACAGGCACACCTGAGCTGAGAAGCCTGGGCTGGCTCAGACGCATCTACTTGTCCATCATCAGAACCATCCAAGGATTCTGATTTTTCTATCAGAGTGTCAATGTCATAGAGAGACACAGAGACACAGAGCCCATCCACTGGTTTACTCCTCAAATGCCTGCAACAGCCAGAGCTGGGCCAGGCCAAAGCCAGGAATCTAGAACTCCATCAGGGGTTTCCCCCTTCAGAGGCAGGAACCCAAGTGCTTAAGCCAACACCTGCTGCCTCCCAGGATGTTCATTAGCAGGGAGGTGGGCAGGAAGCTGGGTCAGAAGGGGAGGAGCCCTGGCTTAAACCAGGCCTTCCAATATGGGCTGTGTGTGTGCCAAGTGGCAATTTAACCACTGCCCAAACACCTGCCTCTGATATTTTAAAATATATCTAATTTATCAGCTTTGTTGGTGCTACTGTTATTACTTATTCATTCTGCTAAGCTCTCACTAACTGAAATAAATTTACCAAATACAATTTTTGTGTTTGTTTTGCTTGTTTGTGCAAGTAAAGAAAATAACACCCTATTCAATTCCATGGAAGTATGACCCCATTCATCTTTAAGAATGCTGATAGGTTAAGGCTGGTGTTGCCAGGCAGATTAAGCCACTGCTTGCAATGCCAGCTTTCCACATGAGTGCAGTTGGAGTCCTGTTTGCTCCACTTCTGATCCAGCTTCCTACTAATGCTCCTGGGAAAGCAGCAGAGTGTTTGGGCCCCTGCTATCCATGTGGGAGACCTGCATGGAGGTCTAGGCTCCCGGTTTCAGCCTGGCCCAGCCCTGGGTATTGCAGCCATTTGGGAAGTGATCCAGCAGATGGATGATCTCTCTCTCCCTCTCTCTTTCTCTCCATAACTCTACCTTTCAAATAAGATAAACAACTCTTGTTAATAAAAAGGATGTTGGGGTGAAGGCATTATGGGGATGTTTCTTCTTTATCACTTCATTTATCGTTACTGTAGCATTGCTTGTGCAATAATAAAAAACCAAGGAGGAAATGGAACAGGTAACAAGAGAGAAAAGGAAGGACCTTGTTCTCGTGCAAGTTCCTCTGTCGCTGTAAAGCCAGGGTCACTTGCTTCTCGGCTTTTTTCACCAGCTTATGATCTTCTTGCAGCGCATGGCTGGTGCGCAACTCCTGGATCAGCTCCAGTCGCTTCTCTTTCCCTTCAAACATCTGTATCAAATCAAATCACAGACAGACTTGCAAGTTACCAGCCCTCTGTGCCAAGCCCTGGGACTCACACGCAGGGATGTGAGACCCCTGTGAGCAGTGGGTTCTGGCCTGCTTTTTGAGAGTATCACTAAAGTTCAGCCCTCTGTTCTGGGCCTTCAGTGGCTCAGGTAGAGAAGTGTCTTTGCTGTCAGTAAGCTGTTTACTTGGTTTCCAGAAATGCTTATCAAAGGCAAAGTTACAGCTAGAGAATGATACTAAGAAGCTAGAACTCTCCCCCCATTTCCTTCCCTAAGAAACCTAGGATGGCCTTTTTCATAGCTATGTGTTCTTTTCCAGTAAACTGGTCCCTGGTTTGTAGAATACAATGTGAGGTCTGAACGTAATTATGAAAAGGAGAATAAAGAACAGTGCTGGACACCAGCTGTTCACCCAGCTTCCTGGATGTACTCATTGCACCTGAGTCTCTTAACAGGTATAGACAGGGATGGAGGGTGGAAAGGAGTATCTTGTTCTTAGAATTGTAGCTATAAATCACATCGAGTCTGTTAAAAACTAATTAAAAATTAAAACAAAAAAATTTCTAATGACTACATGTTGAAATACTTTACATAGTAGATTAAATAAAATGTATTACAAAAAAAGAGTTATAGCTGTTGGGTGAAAGAGAAAAAAGAAAGAAAAAAGTTCACAGGGGCTTTGTATCAGTCCATTTTTGAAGTGAGATGACTTCTCTGGCAGCACAGATACTCCGGCTAAGGCTTTACAGTCAGGAAGATACGAGCTGGATTTGCTGATAGTTAACTAAATCCCTCTTGGGGTCAGATCACTTGCCTGTAAAGTGAGATCACTGATAGAAAAAAAAAAAAAAAAAACCTGATGACATAGGTATAAAGAGTGTATAAAGTAGGCAAATAATAAGGTTTCAAAACTGTAGTTATTACTTAGCAATTCATTTATAATGCAAATAATTGCATATGACTGTGGAAAACTATGACATCCACCTAGTTTGTGATGCTTTAATAGTCAAAATAAGGTGAAGAAATCTGTGGATTTAGCGATTACAAGGAAGAAATGAGTTTCACACCACTACAGTTGCAACTGTGGCCAGTAGCAGGCAGCTCATTCCTCTCTCTCTAACACCGCAGACAACGACACCAGAAGGGAATGGATAGGTAATTCAAAAATATAGTTGACTAGGATTAGGGGGTGCAAAAGGGAAGGTACCCCAAGGAGCCGAACACAGGTGCATTTGAAAAAATTTATTCTCAAAAGAGAAAACACAGGGCCAGAGGTTGGAACTACACACCATGTTCTGCACGACTCGACCCCGGATTAACTTCTGAAGGTAGATCACAGCCATTTCCATTTCTTCTTCTTCCTAAAAGAACAGAGGGAGAACCAAGCAGTTTAAGAACAGTGGCAATCCACGCATGGGATATGTTTCTGAAGGCTTATTTCAAGCAAAAGGGGCTCGCTAGATGCCAGAAGAATTTAAAGAGAAATGAGACCTGGTCCCTTCTCTCGTTGAACACATAGTAGGTTTAGTGTTACTTACTATATCATTAAACTCCATTATTACATTTTGTTATCAGTAATCTATTACCAAAGCATCTGAAAAGCAAAACATGATGGAACTTCCATGCCACCCCTAGAAAGAAACCATTTTCACTTTTCTATACTCCTATCAAAATCTTTCTTGAAGCAACAAATACTACACAAAACATCCTTTTTTACAAAAATATTTTCATGTTTGATCACAAGTAGACAAAGAATACAGTTGGTCTATGTCAGAGTGACATAATTCTCACACGAATTTGGTAAAATCAGAATATAATGGTCAAGATTAGTTATCTACAAAAATCACCTTAAATAACTATACATCCAAAGCAGCAAGAGCAGGACCTGAAAATCTAAGCTGCCAAGTGTAAAAGAAGGCAACAGCCTAGTTAGGGGCACTGACACACGTGAGAGAAGGCTCCTGCACACTCTAGAAGAGGAGATATGCTGGCCATCAGTGGGTGCATTCCATAAGATGTGGTAACCGGCAGCCATGAGGTCTCCTGTCAACTTCCAATCCCTAGCCTACCCGCTGCGCTGGTGAAACACACACTACCCTCCTGATAGGCTGGTTTCTTGTCAGGATTGCTCTGTACTAGGAGCTAATGTGCTGACCAGCCAGGAAGAACATCCCAAGCCACCAGGAAGTTACATTTCTTTCCATAAAGTAATCAGCTGGCATTGTGGCATTTCCAGCACCTTAAGTCTGACTCAGTCTTTTAAATCCTAACAAACTCTTGTACCTTGCCCAAATTGAGTGTGGTAAGAAATGGCCCTTGTTTGGGTGACCCCTTTGAGCCATTTATGCCCCAGAAACTAGCCCGTCTTGATGCCATGTCTGGCATGTCACTTCTCTTGGATTCAACAGTCTTCAGCCATCTCGCCTCGTGGGAAGATAGTTACGGTAACCAATCATCACTCAATCTTTCTTTGCTTTATGAGATACATTAGGATAATCTTCTGAAGCCTATCTTTCATAGGAAGATACTTCCTTGGTGAGTTATTCTCAAAAAAGATTGGATGTAGATTTCATTTTCCTTATTTTTGTGTGTTTGATGTTTGCTATGTAAGAATAAAGACAATATTTAAGTAAGAGCTTGGGAAGCTAATACTGTTAACATTAGCTTTGTTTTCAACCCAAACTATCCTAAGAATGATTGATGGCAATACTGAGTTCAGCATGTAAATGTGAAAGTTTCAAACTTACATTGGAACTCATTTCCAAGGTTGGTGTGGGAAGCCGAGCTTGAGGTATTGATTTTCTATGAAGGAAGCGCAGAGGTTTCATTTCTTCAAGGACTTTGTTCTTCTTATCCAACAGTGCCTGAAATAATCACAACTACTGTCATTCCTTACCTCTGTATTTTCTTCCACTGTCAGATAGAGGCCACAGATTTGACAGTCAATCAGAGGTAATATTCTCTACGGCTGTGCTAGGTCAGCTTGAGAAAGTCCAAACTGGGGTGCATGTATCTCCCAAGCAATGCCAAGATATTTCTAAGGATATGTTAACCACTTCATTAATGTGGAAGATGTTTTAGATGTATCCATTTTAATCAAAACTTTTGGAGGAAGATTTAACCTTTTTTTTTACTTGTGTTTAGTTTTAAAAAGTTTTGTCTTACATGTTTACAAGCAACTCTAAGTCCATTCCTACTTTTTTACATGGTACAGTTTGCTGAATACATGGGCAATAGGAAATTTGCCTGCACAGTAAGAGATTCAAACATTTGGTATGTTGTTATGGGGGAGCTGAGGAACATTAAATTCCATGTGTCTCAAAGTGGAGAAAGGGCCCTGAAGGCTTGTACATCTAGAGTTTTTGAAAATTAACTTACTCCCCTAGTGAAAGAGAATGTGTTTGTGTTTTTCATGTTTTTTCTTTACTTTTGGTCATCAAAAGTTCTCCAAGATTATATATAATATTTTGTTCATTGGTTCTATTCTCAGTCATAAGAAGGGATTTTTAATTTAAAAGCACCAACAATTCTTATCTTTATGATTTTGAAATCATATTTTATTTACTTTCTTATCAGAATAATGAGAATATCAGAATACAATAATCTTATCAGAATATAAGAATAAATTCTTATCAGAATATTTTATCTTCCATAAAAATATAGATGAACATTTTTTTAAAAAAATATAAGCATTAAGTCAAAGCTTGAATCTAGTAAAGTATGCAAATTAGGAGTGAAATTCACAGTCACCTATTACTCTGGTTATAATACAGTTTCTGGGTTTTCAAAAAATAAAACTTACAGCAAGTACAAAACAGCTCTTTGGTAACCACAACTAGTGAGTCAACAGAGAGCAGCAGGAGTCTACAAGTGATTAACACCTCTAAACTCATGCATTTCCTGAGGCAAGAACTCTAAACAATACCACATGAAAACACTTCAGAACCAATCATCTGTAAGATTTTTGGTGAGGACAGGAGAAGAAAACTTGGCAATTTCCATCCAAATTATAGCTGCGCATTTACCGCGGTCCAACGATCCCAACTCTAGGAATTTATCTCCTAGCTATGTTCACACACACACCACATTACATGCAAATAAAAATATTAATTGTAGCATTGTTCTCAATATCAAAAATTACAAATGATATAAATGTCTACCAAAAGGAGGAAAGTTAAATACATTATGGTACATCTGTTCAATGATATAAATTTCTTCTGGTAACATTGAAATAGATGGATCACCAAGATATAGTAAGCAAAAGAGGGGAAGGCAGAACAGTATACGTTTACACTAACATTTATATTAAAAAAGGTTTTAACAAGATACTTGTAAGAAAGGCACTTCAAAATCTTCATGAAAAAAAGAATTAAAAGATTTTACTAGAAAAATTTTTGAAATTCATGAAAATAAAGTCTTCAAAATTTATGAAAAAAATTATGTACAAACTTCAAAATATTTCTGCACCAAAATAAACTTGTAATTCCATTTCCATAGACTTTTTGAAGTATTGTCATATGTATTTATACATATTTGCTTGTGTATTTTCATAATACACACAAACATAGTATATATGTGTACATATTTGCACAGGCACCTACACACATATATTAAAACGCATAAAAATATATTTGTTTATATAAAATTATATAAAATATCTCTGGAAGAAAAGACATAAAACTAAAAACACTGGTTGGCTCCAGAGAGAACCCCATGACTAGGAGACATGGATAGAAGGGAAATATTTCCATTAATACTCTTGTATAACCCATTTTGAACTATGTAGATTTTATTTTCTAGTCAGTAAAATAATTATAAATAAATAATTAAAATTTTGAAGGAAAAAATGACTAGATTTTCATAGTTAAAAGAAAATGGTTTGGTCAAGATAACCAATAGGGGCTGGCACTGTGACACACTAGGCTAATCCTGCCTGTGGTACCTGCATCCTATATGGGGACTGGTTTGAGTCCTGCTGCTCCTCTTCTGATCCAGTTCTCTGCTATGGCCTGGGAAAGCAGTAGAAGATGGCCCAAGTCCTTGGGCCCCTGCACCTGCGTGGGAGATCTGGAATAAGCTCCTGTCTCTTGGCTTGGATCAGCTCAGCGCTGGCGGTTGTGGTCATTTGGGGGGTGAACCAGCGGATGGAAGACCTTTCTCTCTGTCTCTCCCTCTCACTGTCTGGAACTCTACCTCGCAAGTCAATAAATAAAATCTTTAAAAAAAAGATGACCAATAAAAATCATAATCAAATAAGCAAAATATTCAGATTTTCTTCTATCTCAGCCTCACATTTTCCTTGAAGGTAAAGCACAGAGAGAGACAGAGATTGAGAGATCCAATGAGTATGAGCGAATACAAGAATATTAAGAAAGTGTTCTTATCAAAGAATACATTTTAATAAATGCTCAAAAGACAAAAACTGTGTTTAATCAGTGGATTTCATAAACAAAAGAAAGGACTCATTGGTAGACTTGTTAAGTATACTTTACAATACAAGCAATTTGAAACAACAGCAAAAATATATTCCAGCCTACATTTCTACCAAGAATGGCCCGAAAATATTGCACTGTGGCAAATCTTTCACGCTTTTCTGGACAGTTCTCTGTTATTACTATGACATAGCTCATAAGGTATTTTAAAACAATAACTTTCTACCACCTGTACCTTTGCATTTCTTTGATTCTGGATTCACAAAATACTGCAACCTTAAGGCTAAGAGTCATTGCCTGGCCATAAGCCTGATATTTAGTGACTCTCTTAACTATCTCAGTGCAACAGATTCCATAAAATGGCATCTCATCCCAAATCCAAGAGAGGAGATAAAAACAAGGATAGTTAAGTAATGTGCAGCCTTTGATATCTAAAAGTCCAACAAACATTAAAAACAAGCCAGGGGCTGGCGCTGTGGCACAGCAGGTTAAAGCCCTGGCCTACAGCACTAGCATCCCATATGGGTGCCAATTTGAGTCCCAGCTGCTGCACTTCAGATCCAGCTCTCTGCTATGGCCTGGGAGAGCAGTAGATGGCCCAAGTCCTTGGACCCCTGCATGCACATGGGAGACCCAGAAGAAGCTTCTGGCCCCTGGCTTTGGATCAGCTCAGCCCTGGCCATTGCAGTCATTTGGGGAGTGAACCAGCAGATGGAAGGCCTCTTTCTCTGGTTCTACCTCTCTAACTCTTTCAAATAAATAAAATAATAACAAAAATAAAAAATAAATTAAAACAGTCCAGCCCCTAGTCACTTCTGTATAAAATCTACACTACAGCCTACAGCCTGTTTATCTCAGTCCCCATTATCTAGGTCAGATGTTAAACTATCAACAAAATATTAAAAGCCATGCCCAAAATTAAAAAAAAAAATCTAAATCTAAAGAGGAAAAAAAAAAAAACTAGAGTCAGCTAGAATAGATTTTGGAATTATCAGACAGGAATTTGAAGTAACCATGATTACTTGATTAAGGAAACTAATGGAAAAGGTAGACAATGTGCAAGAACATATGAGTTATGTAAACACAGATGGACACTTAAAAAGAATCAAAAGAAAAGGCTAGAAATCAAAGCACAGTACAGAAGTAAAGAATGTCACCACTGGACTAATCAATAAACTTGGACACAGCAAAGGAAAGAATCAGGGAGTTTGAAGATAGGTCAAGAAAACAGGATGAGCTTTTTGGCCTAGCAGTTAAGATTTGTTTGGGACACCCACAGTTCACATCAGAGTGTCTGGGTTCAATTCCTGGATCCCGATCGCAGCTTCTGCTAACGCAGACTCCAGGAAGTAGCAGTGATGCCTCAGATGGCTAGATTCCTGCCACCCACATGTAGTCCCAGCCCAGCCCCAGCCCCTGCAGGTATCTGAGGAATGGGAGTGTTCTCACCCCACCCCCAGCCTATCAAATAAAATTGTAAAGCAAAACAAAACGAAAAACAACCTTCCCAAACTGAAATACAAAGACAAAAAAATAATGGAGGGATAAAAATCAGAAACAAAACTAAGAATTGTGAAATAGCACCAAAAGCTGTCATACATGGGCAGGCTTGCTGCAGCAGGTTAAGCTTCCACTCGGGACCCCTACACCCCACACTGGTGTGCCTGAGGTGGAGTCCCCCTTGCCTTCCAATCCAGCTTCCTGCACATGTGCCTGGGAGGCAGCAGATAGTGGCCAAAGTACTTGGGTCTCTGCCATTCACGTGGGAAACCCACATGGAATTCCTGGCTTCAGCCTAAACCAATCCTGGCAGTTGCAGGCATATAGGGCATAAACCAGTGGGTGGAACTCTCCCTCTTTCTCTCTCACTCTGGCTTCCAAATACATACATACATACATACATACATACGTGGTGTGTGTGTGTGTGTGTGTGTGTGTGTATAAACTGTAATATCAGATAGAGAAGAAAGAAAAAGAGATTAGAACAGGAGAAATATTTGAGGTACTAATGGTTGACACTTTCCAAAATTAATTGAAGAAGAAGAAAGCTTAGAGAATACCAGTCAAGATAAACACCTTACACAAAATTTAAAATACAGGCGTATAATATTCAAATTGAAAAAAAAAAAAAAGAAAATTTGAAAGAAGCCAGAGTAGGTAGAAACGCCTCATCTACAAGGAACAAAGATAAGAATTCTACTGGATTTCTAGTCAGAAACCATGCAAACAAGAAGAGAGTGGTGGGAAACCTTCACAGTGTTGGAAGCAAATACACAACAACCTAGAATTTTATGCCCAGTAATATTATTCTTTAAAAATGAAAAAGCCAAAACAAAAACTTATGTTTCAAGGGATACATGAGTAGACATTTCTTCTAAAAAGATAAACAAATGACCAGTAGTTACATGAAAAGATGTTCAACACTATTAATCATTAGATACAAATCAAAACCATGCTGAGATATCCCCTCAAATGCAGTAGGGTTTTACAACAAAAAAGACAGAAAAATACAAGTGATGGCAAGGATGTGGGGAAATCAGAACCCTCATGCATTGCTATTAGGGAATGTAAAATAGTTCAGCCACTTTGGAAATAGTCTGGCAGTTACTCAAAATGTAAACACAAAGTTTCCATATGATCCAGCTATTCTGCTTAGATATATGAACAAGAACTGAAAACACATATCCACCCAAAAGCTTGTACATAGATGTGCACTGCAGCATTATGTATAATATTAGTCAACAACACAAATGACTGAACTGTCCCACAATTGATGAGCAGATAAAAAAATGTGGCAAATCCATACAATGAGTAGTGTGCAGGCATGAAAAAGAGGAAATACTGGGATATGCTAGGACAAGGATGAATGATAAAAATACTACACTAAATGAAAGAGGTCGGACACAAAAGCTCACATAATGCAGGATTCCTCTTATGTGAAGTGTCCAGAATAAGCAAATTCAAAAACAGAAAGAAGAGTGGCTTCTTGGGCTGAGGCGAAGGGGAATTGAGAGTTAGAACTCATGAGTATGGAGTCCATTTTTGAGATGATGAAAATGTTTTGGAATTACACAGTGAGTGACAGTTGTACAATCTCATAATATGCTAAAATCATCAAATTCTTTTTAAAAATTTTCTTTATATTTACTTTTTATTTATCTGAAAGGTAGAGTTAGAGAGAATGAGAGAATGAGAGAGAGAGAGAGAGAGAGAGATTCCATCTGCTGTTTTACTCCCCAAATGGCCACAACGGCCAGGACCGGGCTAGGCCAAAGCTAGCAGCCTGGAGCTTCTTCAGGGTCTTCCATGTGGGTGCAGGGGTCCAAGCCAACTTTGTCTACTTTCCCAGGCGCATCAGCAGGGAGCTGGATCGAATTGTAGCAGCCAAGACATGAACTGACTCCTCTATGAGGGCATCACAGGCAGAGACTTAACCTGCTATGCCCCAACACCGGCTCCAAAATCCTGAATTCTATACTTAAAAGGTGGATTTTATTGTGTGTGAATTTATTCCTACCCTCTAAAAAACAAGCAAAAAAACTCATAAAGGAGAAATGAGTTCTTGAGACAAATAAAACCTGAAATCAGCTCATTTCTAACAGATAATCCCTGCAAGAAATGATAAAGTTCTTCAGACAGATGAGAAATGATAGAAGAAACTTAGATCTATATAAAGTAATTATATAAAGAAAGTAAAAATGGCAGAGAAGAAATAGATGAAAGCAAATTGAAATCTTTTATTTTCCTTAGTTTTAATTGATATAAAAGGTAACTGCTAAAGAAATAAAAATAAAGGTGCACTGAGTAATTACAGCATATGGATTAGTAAAATGAATGAATGACAGCCGAGTCACAGGGATGGGGGGAGGAACTGGAATTATTTCCTCTAAGTCACCTGCCCTACACAAGAAGAAATACAGTATTATTTGAAGGTGGACTTTGATTATTGATATGTATAGTCATATACTAGTCCACAAAGCAAGTCTCACTAAATTTCCAAGAATACATACTACATAGACTATGATCTCTGATCACTGTAATTGAGTTAGTAATTAACTAGAAAGTGAGCTAAAATTCCTGCATATTTGGAAACTTACAAACACACTGTTAAATAATGAACAAGTATAAAATCACAATGGTTTTTCTAGATAGTAGAAATTAAGAATAATGACAATCATTACATACCCAAACTAATGGAATGTACCCAAAAACAGTGCTTTGAGGGGAATATTTAATTCAAAACACAAAAGTAAAACTGATGAGTACATGAAATTTATGAGTTGTATGTCCAATTTAAGTTAGGAAAAGAACTAAAAATTAACTCAAAGAAAGAAAAAAGAATGTAAATTAATGTAATTGAAAGAAATGTATTTATGTATATATATGTGTGTGTGTGTATGTCTGTATGTGTGTGCGTGCGTGTGTATACATCCAGAAACTTCGGGTGTGGGCCCAGCACACTGTGTGCTATCAAGTCCTACATGTGATTCTGATGCATGCTCAAGCATCAAGGTCATCAACCTTTCTCATTTAGCTGAGTTTTAAACCAAATGAGAAAGGAGTTGAACAGGGCTCCTTTTCTTCATGATGCCCTGATACCAAATACAAAAGGAAGAAAATGGACCTGTGACAACTATGAACACCGACAGAAATTCCTAAATCTAGAAATTTGTTCTACCTTGGGGTAATGTCAAACTTTACTACATAGATCCAAAATCAGAAACATTTTGCAAAAGTGACACGACCTCTTCGAATGGTGGTGTCACTTTTTCTACAGTCTGAAACGAGGGGGCAACCCTCACTGGTTCTGCACAGCACAGGCCCCTCCAGGAGAGAGAAGTTGGAGAAGGGAGAGAACAAAGGTTGCGTGACAGACCCGCTGTACACTGTTGCCCAAGACAAAGTGCTGCATTTGTGGGCAGCGTCCCTCTGCCAAAGTCACACTAGAAGCATCTTGTCTTCCAGACGATCACTATACCTTATGGACTTCTGCCAACTCATTGTCAAACCTTGCTGCTCTCTTCAGAATACCAGCCTTGGTGGTGATGACTTTTGGCTTTGGAGTTCTGATTCTTGGTTGTGTCACAAAATCTGGGAGAGATGACTCAAGTTCAACTAATCCTGTGGTGAGGAAGTACGTGTTTTTAGTATCTGGCACTTAAATTCAGCTTTTTCAAGAGTACATTGTTAATTTCAGTAACTTTTTGCCAAGTGGTTTCATTGGAATGTAAAGCACATTTCTGTATAATTATGTTCTGACTCAGACTGGAAAATAAGAAATAATTATAAGATAAAAAAATACTAGCCTACAGAAAGTAATAATTTCCATAATATTAAACAGAAAATTAATTACCTTATGATATACAGTATCACTATTCTAGAGTGGATGTTCACCAATTTATCATTCTGTTCTGGAGATGGCCAGTCAGGGCTACAAGTTCAACAATGTGACCATCAGTTCATGATCTTGGCCATGTGATGTTTCACATGTGAACTGAAATTTAAATAAGACTCTTGGACTTCATCAAAGGGATAGCCTCTTCAAGCATTATCCATCCCCTTGACCCCTACCCTTCTGTCTTTTTTTGTAAAATGTTGATTTTATTATATATTCCTTATCTGCTTTCATAAATTTGGTATAGAAGTTTTTTCTATTTCACTTTTCTTTTTTTTAAACTTTTATTTAGTAAATATAATTTTCCAAAGTACAGTTTATGGATTACAATGGCTTTTTCCCCCCCATAACTTCCCTCCCACCCATACCCCTCCCATCTCCTGCTCCCTCTCCCATTCCATTCACATCGATTCATTTTCAATTATCTTTATATACAGAAGATTGATTTAGTATATAATAAGTAAAGTTTTCATCAGTTTGCACCCACAGAACATAAAGTGTAAAATACTGTTTGAGTACTAGTTATAGCATTAATTCACATTGGACAATACATTAAGGACAGAGATCCCACATAAAGAGTGAGTACACAGTGACTCCTGTTGTTGACTTAACAATTCGACACTCTTGTTTATGGTGTCAGAAATCTCCCTAGGCTCTAGTCATGAGTTGCCAAGCTAGGAAGCCTCTTAAGTTCGCTGACTTCGATCTTATTTAGACAAGGTCATAGTCAAAGTGGAAGTTATCTCCTCCTTTCAGAGAAAGGTACCTCCTTCTTAGATGGCCCGTTCTTTCTACTGGATCTCACTCACAGAGACCTTTCATTTAGGTTTTTTTTTTTTTTTTTTTTTTTTTTTGCCAGAGTGTCTTAGCTTTCCATGCCTAAAATACTCTCATGGGCTCTTCAGCCAGATCCAAGTGCCTTAAAGGCTGATTCTGAGGCCAGAGTGCTCTTTAGGACATCCGCCATTCTATGAATCTGCTGTGTATCCCACTTCCGATGTTGGATTGTTCTCTCCCTTTTTTATTCTATCAGTTAGTATCAGCAGACACTAGTCTTGTTTGTGTGATCCCTTTGACTCTTAGACCTATCAGTGTGATCAATTGTGAATTGAAATTGATCACTTGGACTAGTGAGATGGCATTGGTACATGCCACCTTGATGGAATTGTATTGGAATCCCCTCGCATGTTTCTAACTCCACCATTTGGGGCAAGTCCGATTGAGCATGTCCCAAATTGTACATCTCCCTCTCTTATTCCCACTCCTATATTTAACAGGGATCACTTTTCAGTTAAATTTAAACACCTAAGAATAAATGTGTGTTGATTACAGAGTTCAACCAATAGTATTAACTAGAACAAAAAAAATACTGGGATAAAGTATTAAATTGTACATCAACAGTCAGGACAAGGACTGATCAAATCACTGTTTCTCATAGTATCCATTTCACTTCAACAGGTTTCCTTTTTTGTGGTTGGTTAGTTGTCACCGATCAGGGAGAACATATGATATTTGTCCCTTTGGGACTGGCTTAATTCACTCAGCATGATGTTTTCCAGATTCCTCCATCTTGTTGCAAATGACCGGGTTTCACTGTTTTTGACTGCTGTATAGTATTCTATAGAGTATATGTCCCATAATTTCTTTATCCAGTCTACTGTTGATGGGCATTTGGGTTGACTCCAGGTCTTAGCTATTGTGAATTGAGCTGCAATAAACATTAAGGTGCAGACAGCTTTTGTGTTTGCCAATTTAATTTCCTGCTTTCCCAGGCCATAGCAGAGAACTGGATCAGAAGAAGAGCAGTTGAGTCTCGAACCGGCGCCCATATGGGATACCGGCGCTTCAGGTCAGGGCTTTAACCCACTGCACCACAGTGCTGGCCCCATGCTGGCTCTTCCATTTCACTTTTGAATAACTTTGATTATTAATTACATTAAACATTTTTGAATGTCTTCAGGCTGATGAATTTATTCTTTGCTAAACTGTTTTCTAGTGTACCCATTTATTTGACTTTGTGGTTTTTATTGGTTTGTATGAACTCATTAATAATAACATTAAACACGTTCATTTTTGTTTCTTGCATATATTTTTGTAGTTTAGCTTTTAATCTAAATTTCTATAGTTTAAATATATACATACATATATATGACAATCCTCTTTTTGAAAATATTTAGTTATTTGAAAGGTAGAGTGACAGACAAAAGGGAGGCAGGGGGAGAGAGAGAGAATCTTCCATCTGCTGGCTCATTCCCAAAATGCCCACATCAGGGCTGAGTCAGGCCAAAGCCAGAAACCTGGAACTCCATCTAGGTCTCACATGGGCTAGCAGGGACTCAAGTACTTGGCCCATCATGCACTGCCTTTCCAGGAATATTAGCAGGAAGCTGTATCAAAAGGAGAATAGCTGGGACTTGAACTGGCACACTGATACAGGATGTGGGTGTCCCAAGTGGCAGCTTAACCCACTGTGCCACAACAGCAGCCCTTAAGATAACCCTCTTTTATTGGAATTCTAGCTACATAAATTGCTTACCTTCATAGGTGTTGAGATAGTGGTTTTTGACTACAAAGTCCTCTGAGTTGTTGTCCGGGAAACGACCAAGGCGAGCTAGCGGTCCATAGACCTGTGATGCATAATCAGAATAATCCTTGATGATATTTCTTCTCTCCAACTTCCCTTCTACGTTCTTTCTCTTTTCTACAAGCTTCCTGATTGCTGAAACAGAACATACTTCCATGACTGTCTCCAAAATATTTATCCAAATTAGCCGAATGCAGAATAGTAAACCAATTCTAGTTTTATGCACAGGGGAGCTACTAAATTGAATTAATTTCATGATGACTCACAGCAGCCAGAATGTAACACTAAAAACAGAGTTCTGCCATCTGCATGGCGCAGTCTGTCCCAAGACGGGCAGTAGTGGCAGATGCTGAATCAGCCAGTGTCTTCAACTGAAACTCATCAACAATCCTTTAGGACTGTATTATAAGCTCTGAGCAAGCAAGAAGTATTCAATAATAGTTTGTTAAATGAACGACAGAAACCCAAGGTAACTAGCAAATGCATGTTCTGTGGAGAGTCAGGAGAATCACTTTTCCCCACAAGATAAAGAGGACTGCAGGTTTCTCATGGTTTGTTGGGAAGTCAGAGGGGAAAAGCAACTGTACTCATTAGGAGTATACTCATCTAAAGAGTCAAGCCTACTACCTCTACCATTCCCTTTCCTTTCTATCTCATCGCAGACCCACTCCCTTGGAACCACTCCACGCGGCGTACTCTCAGTGGAGCAAGACGGCAGCACAGGATGGGAAATCAAGCACAGGGCCTCGAGAGCCACTCCTGTGGATGCTGTTCATGCTTGACCCTCAGTGCTTCTGTGTGTGACTTGGAGTGTGAGAATTAAGTAGAAGTGCTTATACTGTATGATTAATCTACAAAAGTTAGTTAAATCCATCACTATTTATATCAAGTACAGAAATGGAAAAATGGTGACAAAGGAACACCTAGCAGCTAGTTAAATTATTTTCTCACATTAAGAAAAAGTTAAAATTTAAGATCATTAAAATAATTTTCAAGTAATGATTTGTTTTGTAATGTTTCACTCTTGCCAGAAAAATAACAGTTTTGAGTGATTTTTATATGTTGCCATTAAATATTATGCAAGTTACTAATTCACAAATGTAGTTGATAGAATTTTTTAAGATAAATTTTCACTTATTTTTTAGCAGATTTTAATGGCTTTACTTGCAATTCTAGACTCCAGCAGCAGCACAAACCAAAAACAAATCAACTCATTTTTAATCTTGCACTGAATAAAAAGAGTAAGTTGAACACTTCATCTTTTTATGTATAACATATGGATATATCTATCTTTATGTATAAAGTATATAAAGATACACACATATCTACACATATATACAACATTTTTGTGATATCAAAATTTCTTGGAGAGGGGTGGTGAACAAAAGAGACTTATAAAACATCTCTACAGGAGGCAATAATGAGTAAAAGGTTGAGAAAGTAGGGCTGTCTATCCAGAGTCTCAACCCATGAACATGGGGAATCAGCACACACATATACGCACCACACCCCGATAATGTCAAAAACTTGGCTACCTGTTACAGCACCACTGTCTGACTATTTTCCTGAGGGATTCCCCTCCACTTTCCTATCTTTGAGAAAAAATTCATTGATGCACCAGGACCAAAAGAGAAGTTTATCACAGTGAAATTGGGTTTGGTCAGAGAGCCAAAGCCAAGCCCCCTTGCCCGTTTTCTGCATTACTCGATAAATGTCTGCACTGGATTTGTGCCACTTTGGCCTCTTTTTCTTCCTGCAGCTTAGACCACTTGGCATTCAAGTGCTTCATGTTCAGTTCATTTTGATTCTCCTCACGCTTCCTCAGCAGCTCTTTCAGGACTTCCAGACGAATCTCCTGCAATCTGCAAGTGAATCAGAGAACATAAAGAAGCATCCGGTGTCTCAAACGGGTTATTCTGCGAGGGAGCAAAGGAACAGCTGCCTCAAACAGGATCTGCTCTGCAAGGGTCAGGTTCCTGCATTTTCAGAGTGAGCATGACTACGGCAGAGTGTGAAAAATGAACTGGGGTGTGTGTAGGGGGACATCTCAGAAGTGCATCCCTAAGTCACAGGAATGTGTGAGGGCGTAATTCTGGAAGATGAAGATGGTGCCAGCAGGAGAGATAAAGAAGCGCTCTCGACGTGGGAATGACGAGAGCTTTGTGGATGGTTCCAAGATGCCCAGTGCTGCCAGAGGGTTAAGTAATAGGGGAGTAGATAGGAAAAGGTTATGGCACACCATCTTAACAACAAATGTGAAAATGTGAGGGCCTGCACGGTGTAGGTACTCAATAAACCATGTTTTCCTTTCTCTTACCTTCAACTTGTTTAACTAGAGCCACTGGTTTACGTGTATCCAATTAGGTACCGGTGATTTCAAAATCTGTCCCTCCAGTACAGATATTTCTGAACCAGAATTTTTGTTTACTGGAATCTCCCATGGCAATTTCGAAAAATGTATTCATTTTGTTTTCCCAGAAATCTGCCCCTTCTGCTTACAATTGTTTTCCTTTGGCTAACGATTCCTGCTCTGAAACAATTCTTGCGCCCACACATCAACCACCTCCTGTTTTTGTCATTCTCCTAACATGGATTCCTTGCTGCTACCTTCTCCTCCTTCCAATGTCTGTACCACACAGCTGTCCAGGTTTTCCTTCCTAAAACAGCTCTGAACACACCTTCAACCCACACATTAACTTATGCACCTGGTCATTTGTCAAATATTTACTCAGTGCCCACCATCAGCCAGGCAGGACATCGTGATACACAGGATGAAATGCCTCTCCTGGGAAGCAGTGCTGCAGTGGAATAGCCACCTAAGCCACCTGCTACACACAGAAAGAAACACAGCAGCCTAAAGGAAGGAGGAGCTTCCAGTGGGAGGAGAGAGGATGAGCAGGAGGAAAGGAGAGAGGAGCTGTTAACTGGCTGAGTGTTACAGGTAAACAGGACTGGGATTGCCACATTGAAAAGCAGCAAGTCCTCAGCGGAGGGAGCCGAACTTTCCTGTCAAAGGACTGGAGGCAGAACGAGCCAGGCACACCTGCAGAACTGCTCAAAGTGCAGACCCGTGGGAGGGTGAGGGAACAACGACAAGTGATTACAGAGAGGCAGGTGCTCTTATGCCAGTAGTCACCTTTCTCTCTCAAGATAGAAATACAGTCACGTGTGCGATAACCACATTTTGGTCAACAACTGGTAGTCTCATCAGATGACAGTGGGGCTGAACAATTCCTATTGCCTGGCGACATTACAGCTGTCTTACCACTGTAGTGCTATGTGTCATGTGTTTGTGATGATGCTGCTACAGACAAACCTACTGGGCTGCCATTCATACAGAAGCACAGAACATATGAGGGGACTTAAAAAAGTCCAGGGAAAAGTAGAATTAAAAAATAAGTTTATTTTGGTGCAAATTTTCTAAAACTCATACATAATGTGTGTATGTGGTTTTTTTGTTTTGTTTTGTTTCGTTTTGTTTTTTTACAGGGAGAGAGAGAGAGACAGAGAGAAAGGTCTTCCTTTGCCGTTGGTTCACCCTCCAATGGCCGCCGCGGCCGGCATGCTGCGGCCAGCACACTGCGCCTATCCGAAGGCAGGAGCCAGGAGCCAGGTGCTTCTCCTGGTCTCCTATGGGGTGCAGGGCCCAAGCACTTGGGCCATCCTCCACTGCACTCCTGGGACACAGCAGAGAGCTGGCCTGGAAGAGGGGCAACCAGGACAGAATCCAGTGCCCCAACCAGGACTAGAACCCGGTGTGCCGGCGCTGCAAGGTGGAGGATTAGCCTATTGAGCTGTGGCGCTAGCCTATACAGAATGTTTCATAACATACATTTTCATGAACTTTTTGAAGATTCCTTATAAAAATTATATACAGTACATAGTACTTGATCACAATAATAAATGACTATTCACTGGTTGCTGGCTGATGTGCTTACTATACTATACTTTCATCATATTTTAGAGTGTACTCCTACTTTAAAAATTACTATAAAACAATCCGTTATGTTCTACCAGCATCAGTTTTATGCACCTCGTGTGGACCTCATCTCTTGACAGCATCGAGAGGCCACACTGAGTAACCTCCATCCAGGTTTGTATAGGTGCGCTCTGTGACACTCACACAACATAATCGCCTTAAAAAAGGCCATTTCCCATTGGCTATGCAACACGTGACTGCACTAGGGACAGTTCTCAACTTCACCACTGACCTCAATTTCTTACTGTAAATTGGAGATCATAGTGTTCACTTTATACAGTTGTTGTAAGCATTAACTGAGTTTATGTATATAAAATGCTAGAACAATAGTTCTCAAATTTAAGCGTGTGTCAGAATAATCTGGAGAGGTTGGTAGATTGCTGGACCTTAACCTGTTCAGTAGGTCTGGGATGAGGCCTGAGAATTTGCATTTCTTTTTTTTTTTCTTTTTTCTCTTTTTTTTTTTTTTTTTGACAGGCAGAGTGGATAGTGAGAGAGAGACAGAGAGAGAAAGGTCTTCCTTTGCCGTTGGTTCACCCTCCAATGGCCGCCGCGGCCGGCACGCTATGGCCGACACACTGCGCTGATCCGATGGCAGGAGCCAGGTACTTATCCTGGTCTCCCATGGGGTGCAGGGCCCAAGCACTTGGCCATCCTCCACTGCACTTCTGGGCCACAGCAGAGAGCTGGCCTGGAAGAGGGGCAACCGGGACAGAATCCGGCGCCCCGACCAGGACTAGAACCTGGTGTGCCGGCACCGCAAGGTGGAGGATTAGCCTAGTGAGCCGCAGTGCCGGCATTTCTAACAAGTTCCCAGATAATGCTGACCCTGCTGGTGTGTGGCCCACCTTGGGGAACTACTGGCTTAGAACATCGTCTGGCATGTAGAAAGCACTCGCAAGTATCTGAAAGTGTCCTCCTCCTCATCACTGATATCACTGTCTACCTCTGGCTTCTTCCTCAACTTTCAAATCTCAGCTCAGAAGCCAAATCACTCACCTCAGCCAGAACTCACTGTTCTCTCACCATGTTCCCCTCTCTCTTTGTGAACAGAGCAGCCCACCTGACAGACCCGTCTGGGGGGGCGCTGGTCTGAAGGTGTTTTGCCCCATCCCCTGCCAACTGTCCTGCCCTCCTTGCCTTCGTTGTGGTCCAGTGGACCATACGGAGCTCTGGCAGGACGCAGCACTTCCCTACTCTCCCTGTTTCCTCAGCGACAGGCAGAGCCTAGCACAAAGTGGGCACTCAATATATGTTTATTACATTTATGCTCGATTGTACAAAGTATACACACCCTCTGACCAGGTACATTTTAAATATCTGGATGTCTTCTGACAAGATGTGTAGAGCAAAAAGTGTGAATGTCTGAAAACAGAACTGACATTTGACATCTGCTTTGCCCCCAACATTTTCTAAGTCAATTGGAAGCTTTCCTAAACCATCATATAGAATGGATTCAGGCTTAATTGGTGGAAAGTATTATTTAAAAAAATGAATACATTCTGAATTTAGCACCAAATTGGATCCTTAACTTCCCTGTGTATGAGAGGCCTTGGTAGCCTTGCTATAAGCAATAAAGTACCTGGACACAGTCTAGGATAAAGGACAAGCTGAACAAGTACCCTTCCTCTCTTTCTTATTGGGAAGATGTAGCAGCAACCTCATTTCCACAGTACACCTGCTAAATGAGTGAAAACACCCTGCAGGAGCCTATTTGGCGGAGGATAAAGAAGGCCAGGGCCTAGGGGCAGTGGCAGTGGGAATGAATAGAAGGCATCAGTTTGGAAGGTGCTTTGCAGGAATCAATGTGACAGTCTATGCAGGCAGTAAAGAGAAGCCCTCAAGGAATTGTTCAAACGTGGATTCTGTGTGGCACTTCACACACAAAGACCAGTCTACATTTTGAAGTTATTAAAGAGAAAACTATAGAGAGGTCCTATACCACGTTGGGAATGTGTGATTACTCTTGAAAGAACTGGAAATCCAATTTTTCTCTAAAGGCCAAAGATTGCTTTTGAGTTGTATGCATTGTACAAATAAAAAGTGGTGGCATTCCTTCCACCAGTGCAGGGATAGTTTTCTGGGTGAGAGAGAACCTACTTTTCAATCTCCTGCTCTCGGAAGGCCCACTCCTTCCTCTCCATTGCGTTCATCATCTTCCTTCTCTTCTCAAACTGGGAGGTGTCACTCAGAGGCGGGAGAGTGGCCTCCCACGCTCGCTTCTCGCGGGCTCGTTCTATCATCTCCACCTCAGCTTGGCCGGCTGGCAGACCTCGACCTGGACGATGAAGCAGCACACCTTAGAAGCACTGGGCAACCCCGTACACCTACCGGGCCATAATCTACTCCCCTTCAGTTCTTCTCTAAATGCAAAAGTTATGACAGAATACAATGATATTGGGAGACACCCTCCAGATGTGCCTCTCAGCCATGTCATCTAGGTCCTGCATGGCCTCTTCTGAGTGACTGAGCCATGACACGTGTTAGTTGCACATATGATGGAAAGGATTTAAGTAACCACTGAAAAGTCACACCTTGGAGTGCTCCATACTAGAAAAATCTGCATTTTGAAACACAAATAGCAACATGTGAAAGATAGGGAACCTGTTGGACAAAGTGGAAAAACATACTTTTAAAATAACAGCTAATGAAGAAGTTAATAATTAACTGAGAATTAGTTTTGCATTTTGACCTCCAAAATGAATGTACAATTTAGGCTATCCTTCAACTCCAACCACAAGAGTTCGAAGACACAAAGACCTCCAGGTCAGGCAGACGGGTAGGGCCATTGGATGTGTCTCCTGACCATCTCAGAGACACTGAGTAAGACCCGATCCTAGCTATGCCTCCCTAAAGCAAGATCAGGGGACCCAGTGACACTCAGATGAGGTAGCCTTGGTTTACTGCATCAAGTTCCTGGGGTGAAAAGTGGAAAAAGGAAGTGGGGGCTAGAACAAGTTTCCTGTTGATCACTTAATCCCAGTAAACCAATCTTTGTTTTATTTTCATTAAAAAAAATTGAACAGAAAAGTACAGAGATATAAATGTCATATTTGTACCACATACAATAAACTAATAATATTTTCGCTTTGTTTCAAATCTTGGGTAATGTTCACACTTTTAGCAAAGAAATACATGAATTCACATGTCCTGTTTTTTAAATTAGGACATTATAGAAGAAGCTGAAGTCTTCTGTATTCCATCTCCTTATTCTGATCACCTTCTCAGAGGAAATCACAACATATTTGGTGGGTACACCATCAATTCATTTTTAAAAACTTTTTTTTTGACAGGCAGAGTGGACAGTGAGAGAGACAGACAGAAAGGTCTTCCTTTGCCGTTGGCTCACCCTCCAATGGCCACCGCGGCCGGCACGCTGTGGCCGGCACACTGAGCTGATCCGATGGCAGGAGCCAGGTACTTCTCCTGGTCTCCCATGGGGTGCAGGGCCCAAGCACTTGGGCCATCCTCCACTGCACTCCCTGGCCACAGCAGAGAGCTGGCCTGGAAGAGGGGCAACCGGGACAGAATCCGGCGCCCCGACCGGGACTAGAACCCGGTGTGCCGGCGCCGCAAGGCGGAGGATTAGCCTAGTGAGCCGCGGCACCGGCCTTCATTTTTAAAAACTTTTATACATGTGTATAAAGAAGTGAAGCCATGCACAGGATAATAATTTATATAAAGATGCTAATTCATAGAAGTATCGATATATTTGGAGTAGGGATTTGAATTGCTTGGAGGTCTAAATTATTTTCAGGAGAAATCATATCTATTTGAGTTCTCCCATTCATAAACATGATATGAACCTTATTTTTAATCAAAATTTATCTACTTAAAGAACAAGTTAACATCTTCTCCCAAAATGCCTTGCATGTGCATTTAGTACGTGATTTCCTCAAGGTGTTGTCATCTGTTGCTATCATGAATGTGATTTTTTTCAATATTTTTTCTAATTGTATATTGCTTATAGGAAAGCTACTTACGTTCAATGTCTATTTCATCATCAGTTGCCTTGTTGAACTCTCTTTTTAGTTCTAATTATTTATTTATTTTCTAAATGAGCACATTGTTTGCAAATAGTTTTGCTGCTTCTTTCTAATTCTCACACCTCATTTTTGTCTTATCTTCCTGCACTGACTCAGGGTTTCTCAACTAGGGTGCTAGTGCCTACTTGGGCAGGCACTACTACCCCATGAAGTACAGTACGTTTAGTATCCTAGCCAGCCCATCCCCCATTGTGTGCGCTAATGCCAGAGGACTTGCTAATCATTATTATCTACAAAAATGCAGCCCCTCCTTCCAAATGTCTGGGCTAGGATCTTCTCTTTGTTGCTAAACAAAGGCCATGATGAGGGCATCAGTGCCCTTTTACTTTCCTGGAGAAGCTGCTGCAGCTCCCCCTTCAGCACTATGTTTACTGAAGGCTGTGGTCGACTCTTTTTCAAGTGGGCAGTTTCCTTCTACTCCAGATTTATCTGTAGTTTAGATCATGAAAGAGCACTGACTGTTACCAACACTTTGCATTCAGGGCAACATTTTTCCTATATTTTCTGTAAAGTAGTAAATTATGTTGGCTGATTTTCTATATTAAAACAAACCTCTCTGATGCATCCACTTGGTTAGAACAACTCATCCTTTCCAAATACAGCAACATTTTATACCCAGAATATTATTTAGAATTTTCTGTTGATTTCCTCACTTGTTAGATTGGCTTATCATTTTGCTTTCTTAGTTTAGATTCCTTTCTTACTATCTTTATTTGTTTTCAAATCAAAGCTATACTAGCCTCATAAATGAATATAGTAACAACTATTCTCTTTTTCCTCCTTTTCTGAAGGAATTTTCATAAGACAGAGATAACTTGTTCCCAGAATGAATGGTAAACTTATCTGTACAAATGTTTAGGAATTGATTTTTGCTTTTTTCTTTTCACCAAGTCAATTTCTACAGCTATTCTTCAATTCAGGTTTACTATTTTTTTCTTGAACCAACTTGGTAATTCATACTTTCTTTAAAAATTTCGTAAGTCATGCCAGTTTTGAAGTACAGGGTAAAAGATATTTATAGTATTCTCCCATAATTCTTCAACTGCTAAATCTGTCATTATGTTCTTCCTTCAGCTCTAATTCTCTTTATTTGCATCTTCTGCCCTTTTTCTTGATGCTCCCTACAAGAGGCTTATTATTACATTGTTATTATTATTATGCTATTCAATCTTATGCAAGAAATTATATTACGGTCCTAAGACCCACTTATTTTACCTTTTTAATGTTATATTTATAATGTTTCTGATTTTAAGCTTATTAGTACTTTACTTGTAAAAATTAAATAAGCTAAAATTGTAAAGCAATTGGCGCCATTCTTGGCAGTAGGTACTCAATTCCTCCCTTCCTCCTGTGGAGCAATTATGGTGTCTCCTTTCTCATTGTCATTATTTTTAATTTCTCTTTATGTAATCTTTTTATTAATTCATAATATACACAAAGTTGCAAAAATGAATATCCCATACAACCCCGCACCCAGATCAATGAATGGAATATTACCAGAGTCCTAAATTTCCCATCAGATTCTCTTCCTATTCTCTGCCCCAAAGATAACTACCATCCTCATACCTAGCACACTTTGTTTCAAGTTTTTGTAAATGGAATCTCAATATAGATATTGTTAGGTACTTCCTTTGCCTACCATTATATATGTGAGACTCACTCATACGGTTACATGTAGCCATATTTTCATTCTCATAACTATATAATATTCTATATTAATATACAATATTTTATTAATCCATTCTATGGTTGATAGCCATTTGACTGTTTCAGTCTGAAAATGAATATGAATACTGTTCCTATGAACATTCTTATACAGGTCTTTTGGTGAACATAATATACATTTCTACTAATAGAATTATAGATTCAATTTTCCTTGTCATATAGTTAGGAATGAAATCTATGGTTGTAGGTACAAGCACATAACATAAGTCAATGGACTTAATCCTTAAAATAGCCCATGAGATACTTTTATTGTGCATAAAAATGCCTTTATTTTATTTTAACTCCTTAATACAAGTATGGTAAAAGAATTAGCTCGCAATTATTGCAATCTTTAGGTCTGGGAAATTCTTAGCTATTATCTTTTCTTGCATCGCTTCTCTATCATTCTTTCAGTATCAATTTCTGGAGCTTACAATCCTATCTCCCATGGCTCTTTTATTAGGTCTATAAGTGCATTCTGGAATATGTCTTTACTTTTTCATAATCTGTTGGTCATTCACATGCATTCATTTGAGAAATGTCTGTGCAGATCCTTTGCTCCTTTTTAAATATAGTTGTTGGTTTTCTTGTTATTGATTAATTTAAGCTCCTTTTATATTTTAGATATTAGCCCCTTAGTCAATGTATGATTCGCAAATATTTTCTCCCAATCTGTACACTGTCTCTTAACTCTGTAAACCGTAGTTGCCTGTATGATATCATTTCCAGGAATTCAACAGCGTGCATGGTTATCAATATTGTCAACTGCCAAAATTCAAGAGAATTACCAACTCACCCCAACAAAGAGTAGCCAGGGTCAAGAGTTCAGGGATTGTGTCCTGATACACTACATATTCTGGAGAGTATGGATCGGTTTGAACATCAGCATCCCGATAGTCAGTCTGAGTGCTCACGGAATACTTTGAAGGGGTGGGTAAGTACTTAGAAGAAGCAGAAGGAAAAACATATGGCTCTGTCCTAAAAGAGGAAAATTGGTTTTAAAAATGAAACTTGATATTATCACTTAAAACACTCTATAATCAAGTAGAAATAAGCCCTTGAGCTTTGCAAGTCCATTCTCCCTCCAAATGTCGAGAGGCGCAAATTTATGAATCCAGCGTAACCAAGATTAGGCTCCCAAAAGCTTGAGAAAATCATCTTGCTATCCTCCTTCTGCCAAGAAACTGAGAGGGAGAAAATATCTTAGTCTACTCATAAAAGCATATATTTATATTTATCTGTGTGTCACTGGGCAAGGTTGTAGTATAGAGCTATAAAAAGATGGATTCTGAATCGTTATGCAGCACTTGTGGAGTTGTTCAGAACTGCTGTGTTCCCTGGTGTCTTTCTTCTCGGCTTTCAGTTACACACCAGATCTTAGCTGTGTTCCTCTAGAAACACAGGAGCAGAGGAAAGGAGAGGAGAGGAGAGGGGAGAAAAGCAAGTCAGGCTTTTTCTGGCTAGATGATTCTATAAATAATGTTGGGATCACTTGTTAACATGTAGAAAAGCTAACCCATCTCTTGCGTAAAAATTAATTCTATATCTTCTTAAGAATGTAATGTAAAAATGAAACTATAAAGGTGCTTATAGGAACTATATGCAAATATTTGTATCATCTTTGAATGAAGGTCTTTTTACATTTGATTCTAAAGCCAGAAACTGTAAAAGGAAATGATCGAAAGAACTGAGGGTAAGTTTAAATGTCTACATCTCAAAATATCACAAAGCAACATAAAAGCTAAATGACAACCTCGGAAATTGGTTAATTATAAATGAATATAAATACATAATAAAGGGGTTGGCACTGTGGCATAGTGGGTAAAGCCGCCTCCTCCCATTTGGGCACTGGTTTGAGTCCCAGCTGCTCTACTTCTGATCCAGCTCTCTGCTATGGCCTGGGAAAGTAGTAGAAGATGGCCCAAGTCCTTGGGCCCCTGCACCCACGTGGGAGACCTGGAGGAAGCTCCTGGCTCCTGGCTATGGATGGGCATAGCTCTGGCCATTGCAGCCAACTGGGGAGTGAACCAGTGGATGGAAGACCTCTCTCTCTGCCTCTCCTTCTCTCTCTGTATAATTCTGACTTTCAAATAAATAAATAAATCTTTAGAAAAATATATGATATAAAGTTAGAGTCTTTCATATAAAAGCTCTTGTTAGTAAATGACAGTTGAATACTCCATAGAAAATGGATAAAGGACAATTCACAAACCAAAAATTGAAACTTCTGTATTATTATTTGTCATCACTGAAACAAAATACCTACAGCAGCCTAACTTTGTAAAGAAAAGAGGTTTATTTAGCTCCCAGTTTTGGAAATCCAAGGGCATGGCCTGCCCCAAACCACATCAACCTCTAACAAACATATGAAAAGATGACAAACATAACCAGTAATAAAAAAGTTAATTAGGATAAAATGATCACATAAGAAAAGATTTAAAAGACTAAAAGAGGGCCAGTACTGTGGTGTCACAGGTTAAGCTGCTGCCTCCAATGCTAGCATTCCACACGGGCACCGGTTGGAGTCCCAGCTGCTCCACTTCCGATCTAGCTCCCTGCTAATGCTTCTGGGAAAACAGCAGAAGATGGCCCAAGTGTTTGGCCCATGCACCCATGTGGGAGACTTGGAAGAAGTTCCTGGTTCCTGGCTTCAGCCTGGGCCTGGACCAGCTATTTGGGGAGTGAACCAGATGATGGAAGATCTCCCTCTCTCTGTAACTCTGCCTTTCAAATAAATAAAATATTTTAAAAATAATAATAAAAATAAAAGGCTAAAAGTACATAGCATTGATGAAATTGTGGACAAGTCTTTTCAAAAACCGATGATGAAATTATAAATAGGTACTACCTAACGGACTAGTAATTTATCAATCTATCAAACCTTTAAGATATCCCTCTCCCCAGCAATTACATATCTAAGGATTTATTCTAGAAAATCACTGAACAAGTGTACAAAGGTATACAGTCATCCTTTGGCATCTGTGGGGGATCGGTTCTAGGATCTCCCATAGATGCCAAAGTATGAAAGTGTTCAGTCTCTTACAAAAAAATGGTATAGGATTTATGCAGAACCTATGCACATCCTCCTGTACACTTAAATCATCTCTAGATTATTTATAATACATAATATAGTAAAAATGCTATGAAGAGTTTGTTTATTGTATCATTTAGGAGAAAATGACAAGAAAAAAGTCTGGATGTGTTCAGTGTAGATACAATTTTTTTCAAGATTTTTTATCTGCAGTTAGTTGAGTCAGTAGATGTGGGAACTGCAGATACAGATGGCTGACTGATCATAAAGTCTCATTTATATGAGCGAAAGCTTAGAAATTTTTTTTTTTTTTTTTTTTTTTTTTTTGATAGGCAGAGTGGACAGTGAGAGAGAGAGACAGAGAGAGAAAGGTCTTCCTTTGCCGTTGGTTCACCCTCCAATGGCCACCGCTGCAGCCGGCGCACCGCGCTGATCCGATGGCAGGAGCCAGGATCCAGGTGCTTTTCCTGGTCTCCCATGGGGTGCAGGGCCCAAGCACCTGGGCCATCCTCCACTGCACTCCCTGGCCATAGCAGAGAGCTGGCCTGGAAGAGGGGCAACCGGGACAGAATCCGGTGCCCCGACCGGGACTAGAACCCGGTGTGTGGGCGCCGCAAGGTGGAGGATTAGCCTATTGAGCCACGGCGCCGGCTAAAAGCTTAGAAATTTAAATGATCATCAAGAGAATTTATATATAGAGAGATATACACACACAATGGAATTTACATAGCTATTCAAAGTAAAATATTTATAAGCATTTGAATATATCCATGATTCATTATAAAGTAGAAAAAATGAACATTATTAAGTAGTATGCATAGGATTACATTTTTATGGTTTTAAAAATATTTTATGCATAGGAAAATGCCTAGGTAAATATATAATAAAATACTTACTTCTGGGTAGTAGAATTATAGAGAGTGTACTTTTCATCTTATAGTTTTCTGAATTTTCTCACTCTCTTTACCAGGTACATGTATTACTTTTAAAATAGAAAACAATATGGTCACTTTCATTTGAAGAAAATGTTTTTTCCTGGTTGGTAAAAGAGTTGATTCAATTACATAAATAACTAAAAGATGCTTTTATTTTGAAAAAAGAAGCAATTGGAAGCACTTATATATGAGCACATCGTATAGATACAGCTTAGCTGGAGGAAAAATACATTTTAGGCCAATTAGAAAGAAGCACCTGCTTGGAAATCTAACCTGTAACAAATACTTTAAATAAATTTTAATGTTAAATTCTTTTTTTTTTAATTAATTAATTTATTTATTTATTTGAAAGTCAGAGTTGCACAGAGAGAATAGAGGCAGAGAGAGAGAGAGAGATGTCTTCCATCCAATGGTTCACTCCCCAATTGGCTGCAACGGTTGGAGCTGCGCTGATCCGAAGCTAGGAGCCAGGAGCTTCTTCTGGGTCTCCCACATAGGTGCAGAGGCCCAAGGACTTGGACAATCTTCCTACTGCTTTCCCAGGCCATAGCAGAGAGCTGGATCGGAAGAGGAGCATCCAGGACTCAAACCAGCACCCATATGGGATGCCAGCACTTCAGGCCAGGGCATTAACCCACTATGCCACAGCACCGGCCCCTAATGTTGAATTCTAACTGGTATTGAAATTTCTTTTCTGGTGGTTGCTATGAGTTTTTAATATATGTGGAAAATAGAAGTATTTGGTGCTTCTTATATGTTCAGTTGCAATTACTCTACTGTAAAATTATAGTTGAGGCAATAACTTCAAGTCAGCTTTACATTATCCCCAGATCACATTTTTTATTACATTATTATACCATTAACTTGACTTAACAGAATAAAGTATTCCCTTTTAAACTACCCAATATTTGAACCATCTGATCAAATGTACTTAAATTATGACAGGGCATAACGAACATTCCTGCAGTTTCCTCTTGGTTTAGTATCTTTTCAGGTGGGGCATAGAAAAGTATGCAAAACAAGAATGTTACTTTGACAGAATCCCCATAGTAACTTAACTTCTCACTTCATAGTAACTTAACTAACTCACTTCTTATTTTCTGTAACCTGTTCTCCCCCCACCCCCCGCCACTCTCCACACTTCAGCTGGTTTGGGGAGGAGTAAACTATGAATAAGTATAATCATCCCTTTCCCACCTCCTCCCCAAGCTTGGTCAGGACCCAAACCCCGAAAAACTCCACATCTGCTCCAAGCTTGGCTTGACCCCAACAGGGCAGCATACAAGGAGGAGCTCCACAGGGACCAGCTTTGTGGCACAGCAGCTGAAGCCAGCATTTGCGATGCTGGCATCCCATACTGGAGAGCTGGTTGGATCTCCCAGCGATTCCACTTCTCATCCAGTTTGCTTCTAATGCACCTGGGAAAGCTGCTGAAGATGGCACAAGTACCTGGACCTCTTCCACCTAAGTGGGAAACCAGAATGGAGTTCCTGCCTCCTGGCTTTAGCCTGGCCCAGACCCAGCTATTTTCAGCCATTTGGGGAGTGATCCAACAGGTGGAAAATCTCCCCCTGTCTATTACTCTTCCTTTCAAATAAAATAAATAAATCTTTAAAAAAGGAGGGGCTTCACAAACTTCCAAATTCTGTTATTATGAACTCCATGGCATCTTTTTCAAGTATTAATTTTTAAAATCCTTTTTGCCAAGATGTCTACATAGAATCCAAATAAAGACTCCAACAGTTATCAATGAAAAGAGTATGGCTGGTCCCCAGCTGGTCCCCAGACAATCCACCCCTGTTAACACAAAGTGACATTATGCTTGGAAACCTGCCAGACTCCCAGGGCTGCCTTCACTCAGGAATACAGATTCATCCTTTCAAAAGGATGAATCTAAGAGAGATAGGGATATCTAGAATGTCAAATGTTATGGTTTATTTCTTACAGAGAATCTTTGTACCTTATGTCAGTTCCTTAGGAAAGAGTGAGAGAGGCATAGTATTTATCACTGTAGGCCTCTAAACTCCCTATAATTAGTAACTTTAAGATCTGAGGCAATTATGACCTCTAAAGAAGGTAATCCAATGAACTCACTCTTAAGAAATTACCAGGGCTGGCGCCACGGCTCAATAGGCTAATCCTCTGCCTTGTGGCGCCGGTACACGGGGTTCTAGTCCCGGTCAGGGCGCTGGATTCTGTCCCGGTTGCCCCCCTTCCAGGCCAGCTCTCTGCTATGGCCAGGGAGTGCAGTGGAGGATGGCCCAAGTGCTTGGGCCCTGCACCCGCATGGGAGACCAGGAGAAGCACCTGGCTCCTGGCTTCGGATCAGTGTGATGCACTGGCCGTAGCGCGCCGGCTGCGGTGGCCATTGGAGGGTGAACCAACGGCAAAAAGGAAGACCTTTCTCTCTGTCTTTTTCATGATGCTAGCTAGTTAGTCTTAAAGCTTAAAAAAAAAAAAAATTACCAGAAGGCTCTACAGGGATGCATCTATCTCTTAGCCCTCCTTTTGCTCACATACAGCATTGCATAGACTACAGGTCTGAGCCACCCCTGGGTAAACCGACACCTCACAAAGTTTTCCATCTGGGAAGAGTAGGAAATCTGTTCTCCATCTCTGTAAGAGCCAAAGGTATCCACACACAGTCTTTAAAAAAAAATCAAGGGAGAGGCAGGCATTCGGCTCTGTGGTTAAGACACTGCTTTGGATGCCAATGTCCCAAACTGAAATATCTGGGTTCCAGTCCCGACTTTCTTCTAATTCCAGTTTACTGCTAATCTGTACCCTAGAGGCAGCAGGTGATGGCCCAAGTACTTGGGTCCCTGCTACTTGAGTTCCTAACTCCTGGCTTCAGCCTGGCCCAGCCTTGACTTTGACTTAGGAAGTGTACCAACAGACAGAAGATATCTCTGTCTCTGTTTCTCTGCCTTTCAGATACATAATAAAAATTTAAAGAATCTAGAGAGAAGTGGGACAATAAATGACATTTATCTAAAGGATTAAAGATAGTTGATAACATACGTCCTATTGAAAAGAGACTATGCTCATTTATAATTAGGATTAACTATATCCTTTTAACTCATGCTTGAAAGCCTAGCCCTAAATAAATTTCTACACATAAATCTGAGATGTTGAGGTAGGCTTTTGGCATAGAGGTTATGACACAGATTGGGATGCCCATATCCCATATAAGAGTTCCTGGTTCAAGTCCTGGCTCTTCATTTCCGATGAAACCTTCTGCTAATGTGCATCTTAGAAGGTAGCTGATAATGGCTCTAATACTTGGGTCCCTACCAACCACATGGGAGACCCAGACTGAATTCCTGGATCTTAGTTTTGGCCTAACCTAGCAGGCATTTGGAAAATAAACCAAAGATTCTCTCTCTCTCTCTCAATGCCTTTCAAATAAAAGAAAGAAATTTACCTTAAGAAAACTTTCAAAAAAAAAAAAAAAAGAGAGAAAATTTTATTTTCCTGATCATTTCATGAATACCTTTGACTTTTTTTCCTCTCATAAAAACGCTGTTATATTAACACATTTGGTTTCTAAAGCAATACTCTACCTGATGTCGCATCTTTGCCTCGAAACCAAGAACTGGGAATTGCACAGGCATCCTTGCTCTTGACTTCCTTCTCATCTTGGTTCATTCCTCTGTGAGGCTGAAACTCTGTTTTGTTTGTGTATCACATAGCTTTGTATAGACTAAATGAGTATTAAATGATAAATTCTAGCACACAATAATATTTCATAACTAAAGAGTTTTCTTGATAAAATGTTGGAGAATTAGCTTTAAATAAGTTTATATGTCAGGGAAGCAAAAGGCATAAAGCACTTTCCAAGGTTGTTTTTGATGTGGTTTACCTCTATTGCTATGGTTTGAATGTGTGTCCCCTTCTAAGTTCATGTCGTAACACAATCCCTGCCATGCTGGTATTAAGAGGTGGGGCGTTTTAGGGTGGGAGTGAGACACCAGAGCTCCAGCACCTTATGACAGAGCTGGAGGGAAAAACTACCTACGGTCCTTTTAGCTCTTGCACCTTCCACCGTGCATTCCTCCCTCCTGTCAAGTGTGGGTACAGTAGGAGAGCCCTCCCCAGACTCCAAACACTAGCACCTTGACCTTGGACTTGCTGCCAGAACTGTGAGAAATAATTTATACCATTTATAAATTACCTAGTCTGTCTATTTTGTTATAGCAAGACAGATTAAGACACTTTACATTACAAAATACATTGTACACATACATATAAACATATGTAACCTATCTGTAACAAAAGTTATAACCAAAAAATAATTTAACTTCAAGATGCCTCATGCTTTGGTTATTTCCCTTTCTTTTCTTTCATTTTAAAAAATGCTACTAGATAATATTATACCTTCTAACAGTTTGTGGTCCACAGTGTGAAAAATATTGACTTATGAAAACTATGTTCTAAAAGCAAATATGGAGGCAAACAGTAACTACAAAATACTGAAAAAAGTTTTAAAATAATACTTACGTGGCTGTTGCAAAAACAACATTTGATGACATATGTTGAAGAAATGGAAGGAAAGGCCTAGAGGAAAGGAAAACAGAATTGTTTGTGACTTTTCCACTGGGAGCACTCTAAGCTCTCTTCCAACTCTAATATTTGTCCCATAAAATCAATAAGCACGAGTATCCCATATATCAGCAATACTCAAACTTTGGCATAAACAAAAGCACTAGGGGTGGGTAAGTTCCTATTTAAAATGCCCAAGTGTGGCTCAGAGATTTGGTCAACACAGATCTGAGTTGATGGATTTGCACTTACTCCAGTATTTTCGCTGCAGATGGAGATCAAGCCACACTCTGAGACACAGTACCCTATATTTGGGCTACAGCTGGCCATGAATTCCCCAGCAACTTCTCAAGTTCCCTGAAATTCTCAAAGGTCTAGGAATTGAATATGCTATAGTTAAGAAAAATATAGTTTAAGAAAAATCAGCATCCCAAAATTCTCCTAAGGAGGCCGCTCATAAATAATAATGTCGATTTGGGGCCATATATGACACCTGCATCCCGTATGAGCACTGGTTTGAGTCCCAGCTTCTCTACTTATCTCTGTCCTCCCTCTCTCTAGCTCTGCCTTTCAAGTAAATAAATAAATATTTAAACAGTATGTATTCATATAAGTAGGAATAATGTAGATTAGAAGTTTACATTGTCAAGGAAGCTTAGATAGATATAGCATCAAGCTTACCTTCTCAATTCAGGTAAGGCCTTTAGTAAATCCCCTTCTTAATTTAATTTTATCTGAACATGTGATTATCACATGAGTGTTAATCACAAATGAAATACATGGTTTTGGTGACATTCACACAAAGAGAGCAGAAGTCGCCCATTTAGATACTTTCAACAATTTCCCCAGCATTAGTATGACTTCACGATATCCCTGCTGTGTCTCACTTCATCTGATGACTTCTTTTGCTTCTCAAATGTGCATTCTCAGTTTTAATCCGTGCCTCTGAAGTCAGACGGGCTTTGTAAGACTCCCAGTTCTGCCACTGGCTGGCTTACGTGGCCTTGACAAATCCACTTCTCCTGACTGTCTCAGCCTCATTTTTGGTAAAATGGGGATAATATAGGAGAAAGTCTTCAAAAAGTTCATGGAAAATGTGTATTATTAAAAAAAAAGGATGAATTTCAAAAATTTTTGCACCAAAATAAACTTACCTCTCAATTTTATTTTTCATGAAGTTTTTGAAATACCCACTTATAGCTTACATTTCTGTTGTGAAGATCTGACAAAGCATATTTAAAGCTCTTAAAATGGTGCCTGGCACAGTGTATGTACTTAAACATTTCAGCTTTTATCATAATCATTAAGAGGTTCTCTAATATTATCAGGGCTCAATTGCTCATTAATAACTACTTTCTACCTGTCAAAGTATTTATAACGATTCTTTCCAGTAACATCAGGATCCTCACAAGCTTCTTTAGGCATCTGGAAAGAAGTATCCATTCTAAAAAAAGAAGCAGAAAAATATTATTCAAGTCTAAAACATCATTTCCACATAAAATTTCTAATCATTACTTCCATGACTATAAAGCAGATACACAAAGTGTCTTACACTGAGTGAAATATTCTCTTACATGCACCTGTCCTGCTTCTTACACTGAATACCATTTTCTCTAAGCCAGTAAACCAGGATCCAGTAAGAAATGTGAGTAGAGAAAAGTATAGATTTATGAAATACCTCATACACAAATGCCCAATTTTAATTAAAAGCACATGAGAATAAAAAAGTTTTAAGAGAATTTTTAATGTCAAGACTGAAACATATGATTATTTTTTAATATAGTAAATGTGAACTTTAATTAACATAAGGATTTCTAAAGACTCATCTTTAAAGGTATTTTGCTTGTAAGAGTCCAAAAAATATTTTTGATACTAGCAGAGAACAGCACTTGCAATTTCTAAGATGGATCAAAGGACAAATTCAGTCTTCCTTACCCAGGTGACAAGTATCATTTAATACAGCTGTTCATACCAACCCTCTGAGACCATCTACTAATAATCAGACTACAACTGCTGCTCCTGAATCAAGCTTGTTTGCAACAAGGTTTAGAGAGAGAATTTGGCCTAGGTGTGACATCCGCTACATTTTTCAGTCATGCAGAATAAATAAATAAAAACTTTTAAAAAGAAAAACATATTCATAGAAAATGTGAATCACTTTAGGAGCAGAATCTGCCCGACACTTACGCGGCAAGCTGCCGGAGCGCTTCTCTGCGTTTCTCCTCATGTCCCTTCCACTCCCGACTGATGAATGGTGGGACAGGATCTGATTTGCTCCAATACAGAGAATATCTTGGATAATGGTTCAGGTTACTGAACATGGTTCTAAACCTGGGAATTTTTCTCTAATGTTAGAAAACGGAAGCAAGGAGGAAAAGAACAAACTTGTGCCATCAGATTTTCTAAAGCATTCCAATTATATGATAATTATTTTACATTAAAAGGTATAAAACAACATATATAGGGGCTGGTATTGTGGTTTAGTAGGTAAGGCTGCCACCTACAATACCATCATCCCACATGGGAACTAATTCAAGTCCTGGCTGCTCCACTTCCAGTTCAGCTCCACGCTGATGGCCTGGGAAAGCAGTGAAAGATGGCCCAAGTGTTCAGGTCCCTGCACCCATGTGGGAGACCTAAAAGAAGCTCCTGGATTCTGGCTTTACCCAGACCCACCCATCTGTTGCGGCCATTTGGGGAGTAAACCAGAGGATGGAATATCTCTCTCTCTCACTCCCTCCCTCTCTTTGTAACTCTTTAAAACACATAAATAAATCTATAAAGAAAAAACAACATATATAGCATAGGTAGGAAGAGGGCGTATTGGTATACATAGAATATTTCTAAAAAGAATGTAAAAAAAACTAATGATAATGACCATTTATGTGTTGCAGATAGGGCTAGAATATACTTCATGCCATATATGTTTTTGTACACTTGAATTCTTTTAACACAAGCATATATTACTTTTCCCACTGAAATAAATTAGTGTATGGGCCCTCAACTCAGTATTAGTTAATTAACCCTCACAATGGGTCACAAGTAGTAAGACACCTTGCTCCCTAGTAATCATGGTAAAATAATTCCTGCAGAACCTAAAATCCAGAGATTTGGTGATTAGTCAATCCAATCAGTGCAGTTAGCCAAACTAGTTAGTTGCTTTAGTTGAATTAGACGCACCAGTCTGCTTCGAAGCACAGTGGCTTGGATATTTGCTTGTGTGTGTTCTTTCTCACTTGACACAATAAACAATGGATCTGCAAAACAGACAAAAGGAATCACATAGGGATAGAACACATCTACTCCTAAGCTGAGACTAATGGCAAAGCAATACAGCTTAACTGGAACACAGATTAGAAAGTCTAGACATTGCCTAACCGGTCAGAAGCTCAAGACCTTGTGACTCTACCCCACCTACCAGTAACAGTCTGCCAAACGCATTTCTTTTCTGTGTATTCCAAGTTAGCTTATGGAACTGGAATGTATAGAGAAGCCTAGCATGTTCTCAAGCACAGTACTCTAAACACACTCTCTTCTTGCCTATGAACATACGTCTTTCTGGATCTAGGTAGCCTAAGAAATCCTTCCAGAGAAAAGATTCTGTGTAAGTGCACTATGCCCAATCGCAAGCGAGAGAAACAATAAGTTTAGGCACTCTCTCCCATGTTCAGTACATTGGGAAGGAGCAACAGCATTAGCCCTAAGAACTAATAAATGTGGTAAAAAATATCTAATAAGAGACATTTATTCTCTACCAAGAGATAAAGGCGACCAGCTCTCTTCAGAGTAAGTCTATTTTTACCACACAAAGGCCATTTAGTGGAAGCAGACATGTGATACCCATCAAGGTTGAAAGGCTGCACGAGATGCAGGCTCTCTTAATGCTTTCATCCAACAAATAGTTAATTGACAAGCCCTGAGCACATGCAATACAATCAAAAATTGTTTGTGCACAAGAATAAACTTATCTTTTAATTCCATTTTCCACAAACATAGCACCTTTATGCTATGTTCTAGGTGAATAGAATAGAATACATCAACAAAGAGGCAACAATCCCCAACTTCATGGGATGTAGGTAATAAACATCCATCATTATAAATTATACCTTATAAGTTATACAATAAAATTATATAATATGTTATCCAAGGCCAGTTAACTCATTGGTTAGCTAACAACCAATCTTATTTCTCATTTAAATTTTCAGCTAAGATACAAAGAGACTCCATTCAATTGGTGGAGAGTTTCAGTGTTAAAAGGTCATACGGATTGCCATCCTGGTCCTTGTCATGGTAGGAAAAATCCATACACAAGTAGCTTTCCATCAGATTTAAGAAGGAAACATGTAACATGCACAGCAAGAAGCCTAGGGTTGCCAAATAAAATTCAGATAACTAATGAATGACATTTTAGTATTTGCATGGGATGAAAAATTTATACTAAAATTATATTTGTTTTTTTAACAAGCAGAGTGGACAGTGAGAGAGAGAGAGAGACAGAGAGAAAGGTCCTCCTTTGCCGTTGGTTCACCCTCCAATGGCCGCCGCGGCCGGCGCACCGCGCTCATCCGAAGGCAGGAGCCAGGTGCTTCTCCTGGTCTCCCATGGGGTGCAGGGCCCAAGCACTTGGGCCAACCTCCACTGCACTCCTGGGCCACAGCAGAGAGCTGGCCTGGCAGAGGGGCAACCGGGACAGAATCCAGCGCCCCGACCGGGACTAGAACCCGGTGTGCCAGCGCCGCTAGGCGGAGGATTAGCCTAGTGAGCCGCGGCGCCAGCTGTATTTATTTATCTCAAATTCCTATTTAACTGTGCACCCTGTATTTTTATTTGGTAAATTTTGCAACCCTACCAAGTCAAAAAAACAAACAAACAAACAACTATAAAATGCAAACAAGAGAGCAGAGGAGTGTAGTACTGCAGTATCTTAGCTCTAGGCTTTCCTGGCTACCCTTTGCTTCCTGCGCATGAACGGCTGTGAGACCTCTGTTTTATTGCAACAACCCAGACTTTCCTTTAACCTATTCTGGGAGGATTTCTGTTCTCTGAAAGGGACAGGGAAACACGTATCAATCCCTCTGTAGAAGAGATGCTTAGGGATAAAAGAAACAACAAGGGAAAATGCTTCATCCATCCTTACCGAAGATGTTTATCCCCATTCCCAAATTACCTTTGAAAAAAACACGGTGATACATTTACAGGAACTTACTAAATATATTCCATATCATGAAACCAAGAGTGATTAAAGAAAACCACTGGCCAGAATATGAAAGCAATCGTTACACAATGCACCATGCAGGAAATGGCCCTCTACAGTCCCACCGAAGAGACTGGGAGTCCCTGATGTGACACCACGTGGTTGAAAGTAATTTAAGATTCAGGTGAAGAGCCTGGGGCTCCTGAGTGCAAAACTGAAAAACAAAACCGTGCTTAAACTTAACCGGCTACAATCCCCATAACAGTAAACACAACAATTCAATAGACATTAAACACCCAGCACGTGTACCAGCACTGGAAGGGGCTGCGAAGCCTACAGAAATGTATGGAATAGAAACTTTAAGGTCCAGAAGAGATAGGACATAAACGGACAAGCAAGACATTAAAATAAATTGGGCTTTATCGGTCCAAAGAAGAATCAGTGGAGCTGGTTTATAAATGATGCTCTGATAGATAAAAATAAATTTAAAGGAGAACAAACAGACGTAAGATAAACTGGCACTTTCTTCACCTAGACTGCCACCTGTGGAGTTGCCCAGAGAATGAGCGCAGTGTGAACGTGGGAACACGAAATGAATCTCCAAGTTTTAAAATCACTCCCTACCAAAACGCCCGGACCAGGTGTCAGAAGATGGCTCAGGGCTGAGGAAATTACTAGAAAAACAGGGTTAGGAGGACGGCGGCCCCGAGCGAGCGCAGCTCCAAGAGGCAGAGGGCGCCTGCGGCTTCAGAGGCGCCCCAGAGCTCGCGCCCACCTGGAGGGCGCAGGGCTGCCCCTAACCAACAAAAGCCCACCGCGGGCCAAGGTCGGTGCAGGGACTCATCTGTCATGCCGCTAGCCCGGTGCACCACCTGGAAGCCCGACCAGGTGCAGAAGTCCATACCCCAGGAGGAGGTTTCCGGAGGCCCTTACCGTACAGATAATCGTAAACCCGACTGGAGCAGAAGCGGCCCACGGCCCCTGACCTCTCCCCACATCGCGGCTGAGACACCTGCAGGTTGACCTGAGGCTCCCTGACGGTCACGACGTGGCTCATGGTGCCGCTTCTTTGCTCAGGCCAAGCGGCCGGTCTGCGAAGGAGGCCAACTGGTGCGTGCCCCGTAGCTATGGTAACCTGCGCGGCTGCGCTGGGGTCAGGGGTGGGGCGCCGGGGAGGGGCGGGGCCCGAGCGCGGCGGGTGGGAGGAGGAGAGAGAAGAATAGCGGGGAGAGGAAAGATTGGCAGGCGTGGGGCGGAGCGTGGGGAGGAGGGAGGAGAGAGGTGGGGATGGGCGGGAAAGAGGAGGTAGCAATGGCCTAGCCTCTGGCTGTGCTTCCGAGACGGGGCGGGGAGCTGTCGGCTGGCCACCCACGTTCATGGCCAGAAGCTGGGGAAAAGGCTACTCTTCAGGAAATCCTGCAGCAACGTGCGGGGTACAACTGGAGCTTCTTTCCGAAATCCCTGGGAAATCTCAGAGCCTCCTGAAATAGTGCTTTCATTTCGGAAAACCCCTCTGCTCAGAGCCCTGGGATTCCTGTGAGTGAGGAGGAATCCCAGTGCTTGAGTATTGGGCCTTGGCACCCATCAGGGATAAGGGGCGCTTGGTAACCGTCAGTAGCTGTTGACCGCAGGAAGCTGCCCCTGACTGAGCCCTGGGCATTAGGGCACCCGAAAGGACGCCACAGGCACGAGTCTGCTTTTGAAACCCAGCATGAGGAGGTACTTTGCTCTGAGGGGAGGAGAGAACTTCCACTTTGCTTATGGCCTTGTCTAAATACTGGAGTTTGTGGATTCAAATGGCTTCCTTAGCCTTGGCAGTTCATGTCAAGAGCCTCGGGTGGTCACTGACATCATACATGAGAGTGTTAATTGTTAAATTAACAGCAGGAGTCACTGTGCACTAACTCCCCATGCAGGACCTCTGTCCTCAAAGAGTTGTATTATGAGAGTTAACAGTAAAATTTGTTCTCAAAAATTTTGTTTTAGTGTATTAAGTGCAGGATATTCTCATGTCTCATAACTTTTAGTTATGCCTAAGTGTCCAGCTCCATTGCTTGTTTTTCTTAGGTGCTTCCTTAATCAACGATAAAACTCATTCTCAACGACTTACTTTCTTTTAATGTAGTAAGTGGAGGATATTCTTAGGTCTCACAAGTTACAGTTATGTCTGAGTGCTCACAAAAGATGTATCATTCTTGGGTGCTTCTTTAAAGTTATTTAAGTTTCTAAAAAAAAAAGTGAAATTAACTTTGAGGTGCAATGAATTTGAGCAGCCCTTGTCTGGACTATTGAGGAACAATTTCTTTTTTCTTTTTTTTCTCGTGCAAATTGTTGAACTCGTTACTTAGTATAGAGTTGGTCTTCTGTGTGTAAAGTTAATTGAAAATGGATCTCAGTAGAGAATGGGACTAGGAATGGGAGAGTGAGGGGAAGGGGTGGGAGGGCGGGTATCGTGGGAAGAATCACTACATTCCTAATTTGTACGTATGAAATGCATGAAGTTTGTATTCCTTAAATATAAGGTTTCTTTGAGAAGAAACAACAACAAAACCCATCCTGGCAGAATTTAAAGAGCAGCAGACGTGATTCCAGCGTTAGTAATGAACCCATCACTCAACCTTCATTTTGCCAATCTTGTTTCATCTTTCCTTCCCTCCCCCACCCCATTTGTAAAAGAAATCTCAAACATAATCTTATTTTATCTTTTTTTTGTTTTGTTTTTGACAGGCAGAGTGGACAGTGAGAGAGAGAGACAGAGAGAAAGGTCTTCCTTTGCCGTTGGTTCACCCTCCAATGGCCGCGATGGCAGGAGCCAGGTACTTAGCCTGGTCTCCCATGGGGTGCAGGGCCCAAGCACTTGGGCCATCCTCCACTGCACTCCCTGGCCACAGCAGAGAGCTGGCCTGGAAGAGGGGCAACCGGGACAGAATCCAGCGCCCCGACCGGGACTAGAACCCGGTGTGCCAGCGCCGCAAGGCGGAGGATTAGCCTAGTGAGCCGCGGCGCCAGCCCCTTATTTTATCTTTTATCTACATGGCAAAGTGATAAAGATTTTTTTAAAAATTTTTAATCACTGTTACCTTAGCTAACAGTGGTAACAGTGATTTTCTAATACTTTGGATAATTACTACCGGGGATTCTTCTACAGAAAAAGCTTTCTCAAACCAACTCACCGATTTACTGAAATACATTGTGGAGGAAAGACTGGATAAATGCTAGATTATTTGGGGCCAGCGCTGTGGCGCAGTGGGTAAATGCCCTGGCCTGGAGTGCCGGCATCCCATGTGGGCTCTGGTTCGAGACCTGACTGCTCCACTTCTGATCCAGCTTTCTGCTATGGCCTGGGAAAGCAGTAGAAGATGGCCCAAGTCCTTGGGCCCCTGCACCCATGTGGGGGACCCAGAGGAAGCTCCTGGCTCCTGGCTTCGGATCCAGGATCAGCAAAGCTCCAGCCATTGCAGCCAATTGCGATGTGAACCAGCAGATGGAAGACCTCTCTCTCTCTCTCTCTCTCTGCCACGCCTCTCTCTCTGTAACTCTGACTTTCAAATAAATAAGTCTTTTTTTAAAATGCTAGATTCTTTATTAAATTTCAGAGAAATAAGTTGGTGCCAGAGCAAACTCCAATGTTAACCACACCAAGTTTTTTGTTTGTTTAGTATCATTATGAATCCATGCATTTTTTACATACCTGGTGTTTTAATCTGTATGTTCATTATTCTTTATGATGTTTATCTCATGAGGCTAGTAGCACCCCTTAGAGTTGGCTTTTTTGGGGCCGGCGTTGTGCCGTAGCAGGTAAAGCTGCCACCTTAAGTACCAACATCCCATATGGGTGCCGGTTCAAGTCCCAGCTGCTCTACTTCGGATCCAGCTCTCTGCTATGGCCTGGGAAAGCAGTAAAAGATGGCCCAAGTCCTTGGGCCCCTGCACCTACGTGGGAGACCTGGAGGAAGCTGCTGCCTGCTGGCTTCAGATCAGCACAGCTCCTGCTGTCGCAGCCAATTAGGGAGTGAACCAGTGGATGGAAGACCTCTCTCTCTCTGCCTCTCCTTCTCTCTCTGTGTAACTCTGACGTTCAAATAAATTTTAAAAATTAAAAAAAAAAAGTAGGCTGAACTTGTCCTTAAAAAAAAAAAAAAAAGAGTTGGCTTCTTCATCACTTTCATGTGACTCACAGATACTTCCCTAATAAGCTCCCTGGCCTTGCGACTCCTTTGGCACACACCCTGGTTTTAACTCATTGTTGCTTCTGAACCTTTGCTTAAGAAAACTCCTTTCCCTAAAATGCCTTTTCCTGTTTATATCCCCGACAAAGATTCTTTGCTTAGCTAAACCTCTGGCTCCTAAACCTTTCTATGTTCTTTCTTTCTTTTTAAAGGTTTATTTATTTATTTGAGAGGTAGAGGTAGAGAGAGGGGGAGAGACAGAGAGGTCTTCCATCTGCTGGTTCACTCCCCAAGTGGCTGCAATGGCCAGGGCTGGGCCCATCTGAAGCTGAGATAGGAGTTTTTCTAGGTCTCCCACACTGGTACAGGGGCTGCTGCTTTCCCAGGCCACAGCAGAGGTGGATCAGAAGTGGAGCAGCCAGGACTGGAACCCATGCCCATATAGGATGCGGATACCACAGGCAGAAGCTTAGCACACTCTGCCACAGCGCTGGCTTCTCTATATTCTTTCTTATAAAATCCAACTTTAGCAAAGAACCCTGCCAAGTCAGTCTGACAAAAGCCTACCCTCTTCCCATCCTTCATTTATTGGATTACACTCATATACAGGAAGAATACTGTCAGGTCCCTTTAGCTAGAATCCCCCTCATCCCTGAATGTTCCCTCTTAGTAATTTCCCATCCAGTGACCTCCTTGGCTGTATGTTCCGACTTACCCATGCTTGCATTTGGCATTGATCCCAGCCTGTCTCCACTGCAAGAGCTGGTTGCAGTGGTCTTTATGCATATCTCACTGGTCCCAGATACAATCTGCCTTACCCTGCTTTACAAGTACCTCTGAATAACTTTTTTTAATATAATGCTGCCAACTAATATAAGCATCCTGCAACACTTGGCTCCAACTTTGCCATCTTTATGCATTTTCTTCAGGGTCCCCGAATAGAGTACAATGTCGTTCGTTCTTCCAATGCTGTAGTGCCAATACGGTGGACCACTGTGTATAGTAATTGTTTGCAACTCTGTTCTCCCTAAGGTTGAGTTCACTGAAGACACAAGACTGCATATGGTCACTTTTTTTTTTTAAATCTCTGAAGTACCCAGTACATTAATAAAATGACTACCATATGTATAAAACCATACATTTGTTAAACAAATACACTGAGTGTTTACTAAATGATGGGTGCCGACTTCAGGGTTTACTAAAATCTATGAGCAAACAAAGAACAGATGTATGGCTAAAAATAGGAATGACTGTTAAAGATGTGATTTATATACTTATACCCTTCTGAGAAAATTTGTATAGGATTCTGAGGAAAGCAGATACAGAAACAAAATACAGTGTTCTAATGTCTATTTCTCTGTCTGTGGGTAGAGCTACATTTCTCAGCGCCTCCCTTCCGTTTTTCCTTCTTAGAATGCTCCTCACTCACACCCTGTCTTCTCACAGTTGGCTCCTCATCATTTGAGGTCAACTGGATTGGCATCTCCTCAGACAGACATTTCCACTGTCAGACAAATTATCTGAGGTAGCCAACAGCTAATGCCTCCCTTCTCCAGCCATCAGAAACACATCTAGAGTCACTATGATATTGCCTTGATTTATTTTTATAGCACTGAAATGTTCTTTTTAAAAATCTATTTATTTATTTTGT